TCACTTATTCCGGTTGTCACGTCCTCTATTTCCAAGTAAAAATAATTACAATAACTACAGTGATCTCTGAGTTTGGACAAAGTCTTAAAATATTTCAACACTTGCATCAGTAATGAAATTCCCAATTATCCCCAAGACCTTCGAGAGGACAGACGGTAGGATTTATTGGCTGCTTTGGACCAAATGTGCTCTGCTGTCAAATGTCTCAGACACTCCCTATGCTATGGTGGAGCTACTTAGCCGTGAAATTTATAAATTTCACACACATTGTCCAATCATGACATTATTCATTTGATTTGGTCCTTACAGGGCCTACAAAGTCTATCTCTTCTCATGAGAAACAAAGACCTTGTACCCAATTTTCTTGAACTGACTCAACGGCGGCGCCCTTCACCCTTCCTGCTGAGCGTGGCACCTGCCTTCTCTGAGCACCAGCGTCCACTGGACACAGCCGGCCCAGCAACCTGGAAGCAGGGCATCAGAGCGGCCCTGGGGGTCCCTGTCCCCCACCCACCCCACCCCACCCCACCCCAGAGAGCCATACCATCATCCAGCCTGCAAGAGAAACCAAAATGCAAGTTGTCCATGACCCCACTCTCTTTGAAACCCTGAGCACATGCGATCACGAGGGCCTGTTGATGCTATTTCCCAAATGGCCGTTTCTCTTTTCTCCAAACCCATGTCCGCTGTATTTTCAAGCACTCTACGCGGCTCCCGCACACACTGCCACGCGTCTAAGTACCCCTGTACTCCCGACAAGCCTCGCGCCCACAGCCGTCATGCCAGGCCAAGAGCTGCGGTTCCACCACGTAAAGCACAATCAGAGCCCGTGTTCTCCCGGACACTGGCACCAACCACGAGAGGACGGGGAGGCCACGTGACCCTGCAGTGAGGGTCTTGCATGGGGCCTCCTGGCTGCTGCTCCCACCCCACTTCTCATCACTCCTTCCTCTCCCTGCAAATTCCAGCCCGCGTGTCTGGGTGGCCCTGACCTTCTCTGCTGCTTCTACTCAGTGTGCATCTACTCTCGCCGAATGTCACCCTCAGTTGGACTCACTGGCCTCTAAGCCTCCCCCACTGGCCCTCCAGAGACGTGAGGGTTGGGAGTGTGTCTTGGTACCCGCCGTGCCGGATTCAGAGGTACGTTCGGATTGAAATCAAAGTAGGTGTACGGTCCTTGACGCCTGCATTGGGTTTTACACCCACAACTATGTCCCTGGTCTACAAACACAGTCTCGATTGCTGTCGCTTTGCCTCTATGTGAAGACAGGTCAAGACTCGTACGGCACACCCGCTCTCCATAAACACAGAGCCTATGCCCACGTCAATTCGTAACAGTGTGTTTGAAAGTTCTATAGGTTTGGGAGGTAGAAGTTGCACCTTTATCCAGATGAAAGTGCTGCACAGAAATGCTCATTCCTCAGTTTTCTATCTAATGTAAATATGTTACCTTGGGGGGAAAAATAATAAAATCCTGAAAGACTTGTGTGCTGGCTTGACTGGGAACAGTGTCATGTTATCTGTATTGAGCCACTACTGCAAGTCATTTTCCTTTATAGAATTCAGAGCATTTTAAAGAAAGAGCTCACCCAATCTTTTATTTCATGATCTACAATTATGAACTGCCAACAATTCAGGGATCTTTGGCTGGTGATAATCCATTTCTATATGTTAACTTGCTTTGGATGACAATTATAGTTTTTTAAAAAACTTAAAATTATCCTCAGTTATCTTAAAACTGAAAGTGGACATTTCTCTAAATAGAATATATCTCCCATTATAAATTTAAATTATAAAGATACCATCAACCAAGTAGAAAATAGATTTCTCTTAATATTTGTATTTTAGAACTAAAGGGAAATCACAATAAATACAGGATAATCTGGCCTTATTTTTAAATATTTTCACATTTAGCCTAAAAAATCTATTTGATCTGATAATTTTTGGTAAGTTTTCTCTGATCGTGTTTTAATAGAGGCATTCATCTACAAAGAGTTCTACATGCACTTGGAGGAAGGTGTTATTTAATTAATGATATCCGTGATGTTAATTGCCATAATTTATAAATCTTTTTCATGGTTAGGCGATGATTCCCTCAAAGAGAGGAAACAGGTCTCATTCATTTTGCTTCCTTACAGCCGAGCACAAACAAACACTCAACACGTTTATGAGTTGACAGGAGAATCCTCCTAGCCTGGTATAGGACACAGAGTAGATGATTTGATTTATGAAAGGGACTATCAATCCACAAAGCCTCCACCTGATTATATCGAAGGAGGCCAATGGCTTCCTATAAGCAAGGTATTTATGTCATGGAAAGATTTCACGTTCTGTAAGCAACAAACAGAAGCAAATAATTCTTGCTGAACGCATCAATTCCCCTCATTAAATATTGTACCAATTACACATTTATATCTCATATTAATTCCCCTGAATCAACTCTAGTGACACTTAAATCACGAGCAGAAGACCATTAGGGTATAAAGTGTCAATATATATCATATAGCTTCCTCTATTTAAAACGGCATGATCCTTTCTCATTGGCCATCATGTAGTAGAAGTGTGATCACTTCTATTATTTATTTTTAAAGATCTGATTTTATTTTTATTTTTTTATATTTAATTTTTTTAAGATTTTATTTATTTATTCATGAGAAACACACACACAGAGAGAGAGAGAGAGAGAGAGAGGCAGAGACACAGGCAGAGGGAGACGCAGGCTTCATGCAGGGAGCCCAACGTGGGACTCGATCCCAGGTCTCCAGGATCAGGCTCTGGGCTGAAGGCAGATGCTCAAACTGCTGAGCCCCCCAAGGATCCCCGATTTTATTTTTAAATGACAAAAATGCTTATGCAATTGCGCCACATGGTTTAAATGATTTTCTACCATTTTTTTAAATTTTTAAATGTTACAGTCTCACACATGATGAAGCTTTGTGAATTATTATAACTAAAGTGCTGTCTTATACAAATTACAAATACCTAAAACCGAAAGATAAGAGACTTTTCCACAGTAAATGAATTTAAATACCGAAAATACAGATTACCTACAGGATTGGTGCTCCAAGTTATTTTTACGAGTAGAATTCCTTTTGGCAGAAAACAATTTGATTCAAACACTGAAGTGCAGGCCAAAGATCTGGATTCTAGGTCAACATTTGTACAACAAGTCACTTTAACTTTCACGTGCTTCAGTTCCAGATACTTGAAAACAAGTAAACTGAACTAGATGATTCCTAAGTGCCCTCCAGGCTTTATAAATTGTAGTTTATGAAGAAAGAACACATAATCCTATGGCCTGCCTGGGTATCAGAATAGTTAACATGTTGAAAACTGTGGCTTTGTTCGAGGAAGATGGCACTTTGGAAGCATCTTATGATTCGAGAATGCAATCACGTAGGCCGCGTAGCTCCCAGAAGAAATCTGAAGGCAGATATTCTAATCCCCCCGCCCAAGTGTGCTGTGTGAGTCTAACACGCACGCCCGCGGTGTCGCTGCTCCTTGGCCTTGCTCAAAGGAGAGACCCAAACATCTGCGCCACTTGGATCCCTCGACCAAACCTCACATGCTCCCAGAGGACCTGGTGTCTGGTGTTCTGTTTCTGGGTTACTTAGTTCAGCCTTAGACAGTCCTGCTAAGGGAGGAGACCGGAGCAGGAGAGAGTCACTCGGATCAGAAAAACACCCTGCGGACCCTGTCTCCTGCCTTTCAGCCATTCCTGGAAAGAGCAAGGCGTTTCCCCTCAGAGCTCGCCCCTGAGCTGGAAGATGCCCACAGACGGCGGGTTGTGGCTCCTCCAGAGTCTCCCCCTGTGGCCTCAGTGCCCTCTGTTTTGAGAGCATCTCTCACCTGGGCCCTACTTTGTGACTCAGGTTCTAGAGGTCCTGATTCTGGGAACGTCTACCAATGTGCCCCCCGGCCCCCGCCCCGATCCCCCATCCAGCTTGGGGTCTCATCATGGTTAACTGCCATTGGCATTCTGTCCCCAGGGCGAGGGACACACGGCCCCCAGGGCTGCTCTCTGAGCAAAGAGTCTATGACCTTGACAGAGTAACAGGACACGGAAAGAAAATGAGAATCGCTTCTTCTTTAGAAAGAGAAAGTTCTCTTCTTTTACAGAGCAGAATCACCATTCCTAATGAAAGAAGCTACTGGATCTTTGTGTTTGTCTTATATTTAAGAAGAATTTCTGGAGCTAGAACATAAATAATGCAAGCTAAGCATCTGATTAAATTCTTGTGGATAAAGACATATAGTTAGTGTGATAAATATCCATTATTGTCTCAGAGAGCAGTACCAGAAAACCTAATATCTATGAAAAAAGAGGAAAAAAGGAAGCCAATATGAGGCTCCATTCATAAATCATAATTAGCTTTCAAAGACCAATATATTTTATTATGAATATAAATCCCGATAAGACACAACTATGAAAATTTCATGACTCCAAAGCCTTCAATTAAAATTAAAATGCCTTATTTGAAAATTTGATTCTTATGCATATGACAGATAAAAATAGCAAAAAAGTATGAAATATTGAAATCAACTTTAACAAGCCCTAGATTTAAATGACCCAAAGAACATGAAATATGTAGCAGATGGCTCAAAGAATGAGTTTTTAATCTAAATTTTAAAAAAGGGGTTTTAGTAAATTGATTTTTTAATTAATACAACTGTCAAAAAAATTCTTTTGACTCTAAATCGAATAACATATTTTTTACTTCAAAATGCAATACAAGGAAATATTAGCATAACTCTACCCGGCATCTAGTGAGTGTCCAACCATCCCCTGAATTCAGGCTATAAAGCTAAATCAAGCCTAGTGTAAATGTCAGAAATGTTTGCATGGCCAGTGGAAAGTTTAATTTGTACTTTTATAAATCCACATTCAATTTTTCCTTACCTTTTACCCATCGCCACCGCTTCAGTAATTCTCAATATGAGATTGAAATAAGGACAATAAATTTAATTTAAGTTTGGGGATGAAAAAGCATGTTTCTTACCCTGACAGAGTGGGGCAAGAGAATCCCATTGGTACATGCCGCCTGGGCTCCGTCTACACGTTGCGTTGCTGGAGCCAATCATTCGATATCCAGGCTTACAAAAGTAATGCACTTTACTTCCGACTGCTCCGGCGGTCCTATTTAAAATACCACCATTCTTCGGGGTGTGGGTCAAGCTGCAGTAAGGAGCTATGGGCACGAAGACATACAGACACGAATCAATAAACAGAGACTGTCGCAGGTCCCTCGGTCAGAGTGATATAAACGGAGTATCTTTCTTATTTAAATTGTGTGAAATCAGCACCAATATGTAAACCTGTTCTAAAAAGCATCCCCAAAGACCGAAGGCTGGCAAAGATCTGGAGCAAGGGGCACTCTCGCTCATTGCTGGCCAGAATGTAAAATGGTGCAGCCACGTTGGAAGGCAGTGGCTGTTTCTTATAAAACTAAACATGCTCCCACCCTACGATCCAGCAGTCACACTCCTTGGTATTTGCTCAAAGCCTTAAAAATGTCCACAAGGGGGGAAAAAAAAACAAAAACAAAAACCCTGCACATGCACAGCGGCTCTATTCATAATTGCTCCAGCGTGGCAGCAATCAAGATGCCCTCCAGTAGGTGAAGGAGAAATAAACAAAGGTCCACCCAGAAGGTGGAATATTCTTCAGCATCAAAAAGAAATGAGCCCTCAAGCCATGAAAAGAAATGGTGGAACTTTAAATGCATGTTACTAAGTGAAAGTGGTTGTTCTGCAAAGGCTACAGACTGTATGATTCCAACCATATGGCATTCTGGAAAAGGCAAAACTATACAGATGCTAAAAATATCAGTGGTTGCCCAGGGTCAAAGGGGAGAAGCAGGTGGAGCACAGGGGTATTTGGGGCAGAGGCACCGCTCCGTGATACCATAATGATGGATACGTGTCATCACACATTTGTGCAAACCACAAAATGTACAACCCCAATGACCCTGATGTAAGCCACAGGTGCTGGGTGATGATGGCATGTCCACGTAGGTTCACCGATTATAACAAATGCACCACGTGGTGGGGATGCTAATAGTAGGGGAGGCTGTGCATGGGGTGGGGCAGGGGGCACAGGAGAACTCTCTGTATCTTTTCCTCACTTTTGTTGTGAACTTAAAACTCTGAAAAAATAAAGTAAAAACAAAAACAATAACAAAAACAAAACCCAACAAACCCATAAAGCATCCCAAGAGTCTGGAGCCAAGTTCTAATCCCTTATTTTGAAGTTTATTCATTTTTAAGATTTTATTTCATTATTTTTTTGACACAGAGAGAGAGCACAAGCAGGGGGAGGGCGAGGAGAAGGGGAAGAAGGAGAAGCAGACACCCCCCTGAGCAGGGAGCTGACATGGGGCTGGGTCCCAGGACCCCGGGATCATGACCTGAGCCAATGGCAGATGCTTCACCAACTGAGCCACCCGGGTACCTCTTGAAGGTTAAATTACACACAATTATTACTCGATGTGAAGGCAGATCTCAACTTTCTGACTAAAATATTATAAGAGAATACATGGAAGCATCAGAGTGAACTCCTTCACTCAGCCCCGTAAGGCTTACCCACTTAAATAAGCGGATCGACCACCAGAATAAGAAATGATGGAGGTACAGCTCTGGGGACTTATTTGAAACAAAACAATTCTCAATACTGAAAAAGGAAAGTATTATTAAAATGGAGAAAATAGAAGATTATAGCATTTTGTGATTAAAGCCATTAACTTTTTCCTTCCGCTGTTGCTAAGTGGGCCTGTGAATTGCACAGTGATGTATGATATGTAGCTTCTTTTTAACATACAGGACTTGAATAAGATCTGAAGAAAATGCACCACTCCAGGTCAATAAAAATCTCACAATAGCTTTAATCATTGTCTCTGTAGGAACTTTTTAAAATTGAAGATGGTCATTTGTTAAAAATAACACAGTCCTACGTACACAGCACACAACACTCCGATGGCTAAAGGCTCTGCATGTTATTTGCACATTTAGAGAAAGAAACACATTTTATTCTTACAATCTCATTGCAGCAAACAGTCCTATGAACTCCTTTTAGATGAATTAAGACAATAAAGGAAGTTGTGAAGTACTAGAAATGTGTGTTTCCTTTTGGAAGAGGAGTTTTAAGTGTGCTGCTTCCCCATGGGGGTCCGTATACAAAGAGCACACGTACAAGTCTAAATGCTTAATGTTGAACTTCTCCCTAGAAATAAGTTCAGAAGAAACTTTTTGAAGGTTCCATATCATAGCATTGCCCAGAAGCAAAGTCTGTGTGTGTGGCCTTGGCTGTCAACCATGCTCCTGCGAGGAGCATCCTCAGAGAATATTCTCAGCTGGGTGATCTTCTGAAATACCGCAGCAATTCTTTTTTAAAGGACTGATTTTTATTAAGTTAAAATTCACTATCATTACGAGAAACTTCCAATTCACTGCCCCATCAGCTGTGCCGTCTTCTATGTCCTTGTTCTAGACCAAATTTTGTAAGTTTTGAATGAGCAAAAATATTTATTTTAGGGAAGGAATGAGTATACTCAAGCATCTTGGCTACCAACTGTTAAAACAAAACAAAAAGATAATTTATAGAAAGGAGTAGGCTGTAGATCCTGCTCTAAAGGTAGAGAGAAGATTAAGCCTGTAACAGCCCCGGAGGAACACAGAGAGACCACATAATTCATTCCACATCACCTGGGTTGTTTTTTTGTTTTGTTTTGTTTTTTTTTTTTTTTGTTTTTTTAGATTTTATTTATTTATTCATGAGAGACACACAGAGACAGAGGCAGAGACACAGGCATAGGGAGAAGCAGGCTCCATGCAGGGAGCCCGACGTGGGACTCGATCCCGGATCCTGGGATCATGCCCTGGGTGAAGGTGGCGCTAAACCACTGAGCCACCTGGGCTGTCCCACTTGGGATTTTTGTCATAGTTTAATCTGTTATGGGATATAATGTGCAGGGTTGTCTCACCCTGTTGAGTCTGGTAACTGTCCATTTTCTCTCCTATTTACTAGTCTTTTTCTACCACCAGGGTTTCAAGACACTTCGTCTCTCCTAACTCACCTAGAATGAGATATGGAGGAGGCCAGGGGGTGAACTAGAGGCCTGAGAACAAAAGGGAAAGGTTAGAGCACGCGGCCCCACCTAGACAGGTTTGCTGGCCATGGTAAGAAATAAGAGGACCAACGCTCTGTCCTCCAACTCTGCTGGTTGTGTCTTGGGAAAGCAGGGAGGTGTCCACTCTGGGAGAAGACTGGGCCAGTTAGAGATTCTTGAATTTCTGGATGTATATCTGACCACTCTGTAGCTTTCACTGTCCCAGTGAAGCTCACAAACTTCATTTAGTATCGAAGGACCATTACTAACTCTGCGTTCACCTGTACTGCATCGTCTAGAATCAGCTTTGGACAGCACTTTCAGCTTTCAGCTTCAAATCATGTTCATCAATTATATCAATCCCATGTCCGGATGACCAGTATTTCATACACGTGGGACAAGCAGGGGTGTAAGATACGACGTGTGGTCATATTACAGGCTCGAGCCCCCTTGCCCACACTGCTATATAGCAGAGACGTGTTCATTTAATCACTGCACTAAAACCACTGGTGATGAACTCCTAGCAGAGGTCACCGAATCACTGGATTTTAAATGAAAATCTGTTAAAAGATAGATGCATCCACTGACAAAACAAAAATTTATAGCCGTCTCTGAAATTCTCCAATTTCCTACTCTCCCAACACAGTTTAACAAAGAGAATCTTCTTGTTCTCTAGTGAATTAAAATTCAAGGTATAATCATATCACCAGGCTACTAGCTTATTTGCTGCAGATAGGAGGAGATGAATTAGGTTCACCGTGATTTCCCCTGCAATGTCCAGTTTTGCACATTGGACATAAATCCAAACAATTCTAAAGGTCTCAATATTTATTTCAAATCAAGGAACGTGATGAACACAAAGCCAATATTGCCCTAATACTGTCCTAGCTCAGTCTAAGGGAAACCGTTTGATCCGTGAGCTCTTTGTTAATAAGCATTTTGAATAACTGCTTTGAGAGAAGGGGAGAGAAACGAAGGTCTGGGTGTATTTTATTAGACTTTACCAAGAAAGAATGACCAGATTTCATGCCCACTGTCTACACATCAGGAGCCTTTTCAAAACCTTGAAACCTTTTAATATTTCATGATGTCTACCAACCAGAGAGTTGAAATCTTATTCTTAAAACCACTATGGGGATCCCTAGGTGGCTCAGTGGTTAAGTGTCTGCCTTAGGCTCAGGGTGTGATCCTGGAGACCTGGGATCGAGTCCCATGTGGGGCTCCCTGCATGGAGCCTGCTTCTCCCTCCTCCTGTGTCTCTGCCTCTCTCTCTCTCTCTCTCTGTGTGTGTGTGTGTCTCTTGTGAATAAATAAATAAAATCTTTTTAAAAAAACTATACTTTTTGCTGTTCCTCCTCAGAATGTTCTTCATTGCTGACTACATAAAACACCAACATAGGAATCCACAATCCCCTGTTAGCTACTGCTCAGTTAAATGTAGCCAATGGGCATCTTCCTTAGGGAAATGTATCTCAGTTATCACCATAGGAAATCACTGAGTGAGATGCTGAGAAAAGCATAGATTTTTTTTTTCTTAGTTAATTAACATATCTGAGGAATTTAAATTGTCTACTGTTTCTGTAGGACAGTGTAAACCTTAGGTGTGGGTCAGGTCATATTGACAAATGTACACAGGATCTAATGTACATAGATATATTGACCAGTTTAATTAATATAAGTAACACTGGCAGAGAATAATTAAAATATATGGGGAGAGGACAAATGTTCATAGGAAATATACATATGTAAACCCATATTAATTTTCTATGTGTTGGGGCACCTGGGTGGCTCAGTGGTGGAGTGTCTACCTTTGGCCCAGGTCATGGTCCTGGGTTTGAGTCCTACATCAGGCTCCCTGCAGAGAGCCTGCTTCTCCCTCTGCCTGTGTCTCTGTCTCTCCGTGTGTCTCTCATGAATAAATAAAATCTTAAAAAAATTGTATGTGTCCATACATATATGTATACATATATATGTAGCCTACAAATAGAGGCATTCAGATAATCAATAAAAAGACACACTATTCATTAATAGTAAGAGGTTATCACTTACAAATCTAATAGCAATACAAATATCTCTTCCTGTTTGTTTCCTTAGCATTTAAACCTACTTTCAAATCAGTATATATTAGTTAATCTTTTAGAGGAAATGGTTTTGTTTACCCTAAGTCAACCCAAAGTTTTATGATTTTAGTAATAATTTTTAGAATATTGGTCAACAAATGATTTCTTTTACCTGCTACAGTTTGGAGATTCCTCATTCAGAATAATTTCACATGATGTTATTTCTAAGGGAGTTAATTACTCATCTTTGGAAATTAGGTTTATATTATAAATCTCTCTCAATTTTTTTTTATTTACCGTAGGTCACTTGTATTAAAAATGTTTTTATGCTAAATCTAAACCTCACTTACTAACCTGTATATCGAATCTTGAATCCTTTTTTACTGGTTGCATGATCAGTGGACCAGCGGAGATATAACTGATTACTCTTGCTCGTAAAATTGGATTGTTCAGTGTGGTTCCCGCTTAAGACCACTAGCAGAGGACTCTGACCAGAAGAACCTAAACAAAACAGAAAAACAAAAAAAAAGTACAAATATGAGCTAGCACCTATGAAATGCAGACCACGGTTAGCTTTTTATTAAGTTTAGGAGTCTAAATGCACATTGCTTACTTATTTCAAAGGAAACAGAGTTCCAAATGAATAAAACGAAAAATATATTCCCTAATTAAAAAAAATAAACAATAAAAAAATAATAACCAATCAAAATAATCTCACATTGTTAACACACACTAAGTAGATCACATGAACCTTACCTGTAAAATAGGAGCAATTAAAATAAATGAGATTTATTTTATCATTAGTATGAACAATCTTGTAAGCATATGGGGAATTACAGACTTTCATGTGATCCTGGTAGAAGGATAAATTAATAAAATAACTGTGGAGAGCAATTCTGTAATATCCAATAAAACTGAGGGTCCATGATATTTCTATAAACTTCAGCACATGTGCGCTAGTGTTATTTTTATAGCCAAAAGTTTCCTCCAGCATTGTCTCAGCATAGCAAAACCTAGATCCTAAGTAGCATTTTGACATCTTAGAAAAGAATTACAAGTGCCATGAAAAGGAATTCTATGCACATTTAAAATTAATGAGCTAGATAAACACCTACTGGCATAGGCGATTCTTAAAACAGCATATTGATGACTGAAGAAATCTAACTGCAGTTAAATATGATAGCAATTGTGTAAAAATTCAAAGGTGTGCCATATATAAATTATGTGTATGTGTGCGTAGGTAGGACATGGTATAACTAGAGATGCGCAGTTACATGATAGACAGATGGACAGAGGTAGAGAAGGAACCATAGAACATGTACAAGCGTGACCCACCACCCTGTCCCCTTCAGTACTATTTCCTTCTAGGAGAGGCGCACATGGTATAGGATATAAGTGGAGTCCTTGAATTTCTCTGTGCTCCCTACCTCTTAAAAAAACAAAAACAAAACAAAACAAAACAAAACAAAAACAAAAACCAAAAAACAGAGCTTATGGTAAATTTGACAAAAACCCTAAAATTCATTACATCAAGTAATGAGTCCACGTCGGTATTTTTAAATTTTTTCACCTTTTGGTACATTTGAAATTTTTTAAAATTCAAGTCACAAAGTCAATATCTAAAATATAGTTAATAGAAGCAAGTGCAGCATACAGTCAGCTAACATGACTCTTGGCACCATGACTCGATGTCACTTCCTGGGAGGAATTGCTTTCCTGAGTACAGAAGCTGCATCCGCACTTCCTGGGCGTCAGCTACAACAGCCTCCACTGGAGAACTCAGCACCACCTCCTAGTCTGACATCTGGGTGGCTTTTCTACATCATGCAGGTCACTCCCAGGGAGCACATTATGGGTGGGAGAATGTGGTCCTCACTGCCAGATGTTATCAGGGTACGAGACTAGCTTCGAGAGTTGTAGGTAGGATTTTTATTCATGCAAAGGGACCAGGAAACCACAATTTCACTTTTTGTGTGACACCAATGAGAGTGGTTAAAATTATTAAAAAAAAATGCCTATTCTGGCCAGAATTGTGGTCCTGCAAATGCATATGTTACAGGTCAGTATCTCGGAGTGTGACTATACCTGGAGGTGAGGTCTTTAAAGAGGTCATTAAAGTCAGCTGAGGACCCTGGAATGAACCTAATCTAGTAGGCCTGGAGACCCTGCACAGAGAAGAAATCAGGACACGGACACACACCGAGGGGCGGAGGGGACACGAGGACAGAAGGTACCCACACGCCAGGGAGAGGGGCCTAGGAGAAACCAGCCCTGCCCACACTTGCGTCCTGGACTTCCTGCCTCCAGGACTGGGAGAAAACACGTTTCTGTTGCCTCAGCCCCCCCGTGTTGTCACTTTGGGATGGCAACCCTAGTCAACAAATTCAAAAACTTAGTACATTGGGGATGAACCAGGCAATGTTGAGTTTCACTGGAGCAAAGTAGGATCAGATAAGATGCTACTTCCCAGTTTCCTGGAAGATGTCCCATAAAAGGACAACCATATTTTATGATTAAAGAAGACTAATGTGTTTTGTGCGCTGGTTTTCCATTTTGTCTAAAGAGATACTATATATTCTAAAATAAAATACCAGTCGGAAATTAACCTGCATTTATGAAGTTTTACGATATCACTTCTCGTGACAGTACTCGAGGAAAGCTTCAGGTGTTCTTAATCCAGCAACTAATTCTTCATCACTCTCCATCTGTTCTCTTTGCATAACATGTAAACAGCTTCGGCAAGGACTCGAAGGACTTTGAAAATACACATCCAGCTCAGCACGTGTACCATACAGAGCCACTACGGAGCCTCTGCCCCCAGCATGGACACTATTAAGCATTTTACAAGTGAACGCCACAATCTTTATGTCGACACCTTTCTCAGTTGAGTTCTATTATGATTTTGTGTATTTATGTATGTATGTATGGATGTATGTATTTAAATTGAGGAATATCCACTTCTGGAGCTTCAGACAGAAATATACTCCTGGGATAATAAAGTCTAAAATCAATATTTTCAACCCGTTTTTTTTTTTTACCAACTCATTAGCTGTAAAGAACCACTATCTTACAGAAGAGAGAGAAAGGTGCGATAAACATGACACTCGATGCAAGAAAAATGCTAACACTTGATAAAATATTCATATAAAACTCTGCCCTTTAATTTTATAGACAAATCTTTGAGACTAGAACAAAGCTAACCATGGAACTCTGGTAATTTTAACAGCATCTGCTTTGATATTTCTCTCTGTTATCTGCTTTGTGGTTTGTAATGGGTGTGATCCACCCATATTTTGGGGGGATCAAACAAGCACTTAGGAAAAAATACTGGTAATGACTGCTCCTGCAATTGGAAGCAGAAAAACCAATGTTAACTAAATTCCAATTCAACTATGGTCAAACAAGGGAATGTGGACAGATTTAAAGTAATTATGTAAATATATTTCATTACGTACAGCGTGGATAGGACTATGTATACACACATGCACATTCCCGCAAGTGGGCTCCTCACCTACTTTATTCTTGTATGTCACCTAATTGACCTCAGAATTGAGTTTACATGGTTTCTCATTGACATAAGAATTCCATTTTTGTGCTTGGCTAATAAATTACGTCTTTCCATCCTAAAGACCACAGAAGAAGTCTTCAGTAGCCCATGCTTGTTTAACATACACTTAAAAAAACACTCTGAAAATGAAAATACCGCTGTTTCTACATATGTAAGTGTGAATTTATTTCCAATTTACTATCTCATGATCTTAGGAAATACATGATTCACGCGGTGTCTACCCAAATGAACAACTTGACTATTAGGATTCTTCAAGGAAGTAGAGGGCATAGACACACACACACAGAATCAATTACAGTAATTTTTTTTTTTCTGAGCTGATTGTTATTTTACTGAACCCAGTGATGAGTCCATCAAAACATGCAAAAGCCTAGTTATTATGTACGACCATAATTGTATCTTGGTCTAATTGTCTGGGCTATTATAATGCTTCTATACAAAGAAAAATATTACCATCATCTCCATTTCAAATTGATAATTCAACCACATGCTACTTTTAAGAATGTCATTGTTATATTAATAAATTCATTAGAAATGTGTAAAAATGGGTAAGACTAGAGTTGAAAACAGTATTAACATTGGGTAAGTGCATTGTATTTTTTTAAAAATCAGACATTAAAACATTCTGTAGCATTTATCATTTAGAAATCTCTGGGAGCCACTATTTTTATATAGTTTTAGCAAAATAATTGTTTAAATTGCTTAAAGTACCTTTAGCTCTCTTAAGTTTCCTAAAATATCTTCTAAATCAATAGAATACTTAGAAAGAGAGAAAGGAAGAGCTGGATGAGGTCATCTATTGTAAATCCCCACATGAAAGAATTAAATAATGCTTCAAGTAAATTCAGGACATTTTCAGAGTGCATCACTAGTATATTAATCGCTTAAAAGTCGAAACATTAACAAAAGTATGTTCATGTTCCACAGACTCTTGAGATGGCACAAGTGCAGGAATAATTCATTTTCTGTTTGGGGGAGATAAAATTTAACTCAAGAGTATGTGAAAATCCTTGTGTAACAAAAACATCATGATGGTGTTTTTATCACACAATGTAAAGGTCATTGGTAGGTTAAAAAAAAAAAAAAAAAGAAGAAGAAGAAACTTACCATCAAATACTTCCAGTGCGTCAAATTGCTTTTCACTTTGGAATGTATCCACAAAGATGGTGATGTTATAGTTTGGTTCCACTCTAATACTCCACGAGCATGTCTGGGAGTTAAAATAGTTGCCTGGGTAACCTGGACTAAGGATGACTCCAGAAGACTCTGTCCGGACTTCATTTGCAGGGCATTGTGCTAATGAGAAAAATACCGGTAAAAGTTTTCCTTAACAAAATGAATCCAGTTTCAATAGGAGAGTTTCTATTCCTGTTTCTATTTCTATTTTTAAGTCAACAATGGTGGTGGGGGACCAATCCTAATGAGCTATGGCCAAATTTAATACAGGGCACAAACAGAGCAGGAGAACAACAGTCAATAATAACGAGTAACATTTTAATACCATCTTATGATTTAAACAAGAATTATATACACATATGTGTGTGTGTATAATACATATGTCAATATAAGGGTCATTAGGTAGATACAAAGACACATAGATAGATCCCATTTACCTCTAAGGAAATGTAGGGTCAAAGAGATTAGGTCACTGACCCAAGTGTGGGGTAGCCAAGTGTGATAAAGGTGCCAAATTGAAAAGAAACGTGGAGCCTGAAAGTTTCCTCTATCTGGAAAAAGGTGGTGAAGCAACACATTTGCTTCACCTGCTGATGACCCTCTGTGTGTGAAGGGGGGACGTGCTGAGAGAGGAGTGATTACCATGTACCTTTCACTCTAGGAACTTTCTATGACTTTATTGCCCACACACCTTGACTTGGAGCAGGTGCATTATGGATTTGATCCTAGGATCTCATGTTTTCCCAATTCAGCTATAAAGCAAGACTTCACCTTCTCAATGCAATATTACAAAAACATTGTGCAACTACATACAGTAATAGATAAACTGTATTCATTTTTTGCCTTTGATTATCCTTTTAATTATATTTAGGATAGTTATTTTTGAACACTGGATGTTTAAAAATTGTTCGGGACCGTGGTAAGAGATGAGTCAGAGACCTGGGCTGAAAGCCATATTGGATCTCTGGGTTGTTACAAGGTCAAGTAAGAGTAGTGATTTCTAAAGGATCAATTTATTATAATGAATTGTTTGTCAGTTTAGCATTACGAATGAATCATTAAGACAGAGTAAGGGGGGACACCTGGGGGGCTCAGCAGTCGAGCATCTGCCTTTGGCTCAGGGCGTGCCCCTGGGTTCCTGGGATCGAGTCCCACATCGGGCTTCCTGCAGGGAGCCTGCTTCTCCCTCTGCCTGTGTCTCTGCCTTTCTCTGTGTCTCTCATGAATAAATACATGGATAAAATCTTTAAAAAAAAAAAAAGACAGTGCAGTGGGCACACTGACATACTTTTTTTCCCTCCTGCTTTCCTATTTTCTTTACTTAAGGCTTTCAAAATAAAACTGATCCACATAGGTATGAACACACAAAGGAAAATCACCAGTCTCCCAATTAGTAGTTTATTTCATTGATAATTTATCTTCCAGAAACAGTTTATTTATACAACTATTAAGAAAAATATATATATCATATATTGATAATGATTCAAAGGTAAACACAGATATAGCAAAACTATTTATAAAATTTTAAAGTTAAATGATCAGCTTTTCCTTCATGAAAAGGAGCTTTTGTTAGAGGAAATTGTGTCTTATTAGTTGAATTATCTCCTTTTAACTAATTACATTAAATTTACATTTATTAAATGCAACTAGTTAAATAACTTTATATTGATTAATTAAATTTATATTCTTACTACATATATTTTGATACAATTTCCCAAACAGATGGGCAAAATTTATGCAATACATTTTAATTTAAGTAACTGTCTTATTAAAAGGCAATTTTGCCGTTTTTTTCTTTCATTTATCTTGGTGTTCTTATTCAGATGTACCTTAAAGTTTAGAAAATGTTTATGCATAAGATCACCAAAGATGAATCATTTCACAGAGTCCTTTTAATGAAGAAATATTTTAGGTAGATTTTTAAGAATATTTACAATGTTAATTAAAGGTAAGTTATATCTAAAAAATAATAATTCAAGACAGACTAAAGCAATTTAGTTTAGAAAGTAATTTCCTCTGTGATGGTGTTAAGATCACCCTGTAAAATATACTATGCCCTTTTAAAAATGAACATTTTGGCATTTTCTAAGAGAACACAATAAAAAAAAAAAAAAAGATTTTCTATCTGGAGGCATTCGTGAGGGCCTGGGGTTGGAGAATCTCCACGGACCTGCTTTGACTTCGCAGTGGGAGTCAGAGCATTCCTCTGCTCCGATGAGACCAGAGAGCAATAAGGCTACTTGTCGGGTCATAATTAGATAGACACATGTAAATGCTTTCCTTCGGGCTGAAGCAGTACAGGGGCCAAAGGTGTTTCAAGGCCTGGGATGGTCTGACCCTGCGCGTGCCTCCTCCTGAATAAAGGTGCCCTGCCCCCGCACAGTTCATCCTGCTGTTATTACACATGGGAAGCCTTTAGCCCAAACCGCCTCCTTCTGATTTCATCACTACCACTATAGTTATTAGGCAACACTGGAACTTGGTGTCATCCAGAAACAGGAAACTGTCCGCTAAGTGGCTGGAAGCCACCTGGAGAGCAGACAGGGTTTGTGAGTGGTGATAAATCACAAGCACAATCTTAAGCACAGTTATTTTTATTCCCTCCATTTTCCTCAATGTGCTGCTTCTGATGCTTAGAGAAGATTCAATGAAAATATGTGACATTCTTTGTTTCCTTTTGCTTATAACACTTAATATTTTTTCCAGACCTATGAATTGTTTTAAAATGCACTTGGGTATGTCTCCCTGGGAGTGAGCGTGTTTTTGATTCCTTTGTTTCTCTTGCTCCTTCCTAGGTGCCTACTCCTTCCTGTCCCTTGCTGTAAACCTGTTGCCAGGAGCAACGCCCACCCACAGTGGGAAATGTTCAGAGACTGCGGGCTTTTCACGGGCCCAGCCCGGCTGTGCGTTTCTCCATCAGCACTCACAGTGTAAACACACCCCATCTCCGCGGGGGACACTGGCTACCTCCCACTATGGGGAGCATCTGTGTGAGGTTCCCATCAGACACCTTGGAAGGAAAGGGCCTCTCTGAGACGTTCACCTGAATTCTGAATCACCACACCTCTGCATGAGTTATTCCCTTAGCTTATTTTTGAAGAAACATTAAATGTGAGGCTTAAAAATTATTCAACGCAGCTTGCGGGGCTTCAGCAGAAGCAGTGCAGTCAAACATTAGTTCATATTAATAATTAAAATGAATTCTTATAAGCATCCATAGGTCCCAGAGAATTGGGAAAGAGAACTCTATGAACAAGTGGGAAAGCCATCACCTGAAGCTCTTGAGGTGGGTATTATGGTCACGCCTGAGCTTTCCATGAAATGCTCATTATCTGAAGGGCACTGGTTGTCTCCAGTGTTCACTGACAACATATGTTTCCATGTTTTAAGCTGAATATTTTAAAAACCACTGATGGATCTGCACTGTCCACAGGGTGAAGCTACCTGATACTGGAGACCTTGTTACTTTTTAAGATGTATTTATTTATTTGAGAGCAAGGGAGGGAGCTTGAGAGAGCATGAGCAGAGTATGGGGAGGGGCAGAGGAGAGATAATCTTAGGCAGACTCGCCACTGAGCACAAACCCCACGTAGGGCTCAATCCCAAGACCTGAAATCATGACCTGAGATGAAATCAAGAGTCAGATGATTAATCAATGGGGCCTTCCAGGTGCCCCTGAAGACCTTTGAAAGTTGGCCCACTTTTTAGGTTTCCATCCACTTAATGAGTCTTCCCCAAACACACCCTAAGAGCAGAGTGGTTGGAGTCATCTCGTCTTTCCTGGATACTCCACACACCCTTTCTTGTCACAGAACTTTGTCACTGCTTTTCTTTACTTTTTGAAGTGCTCCTCTTTCCTTAACACAAGGAAAGTCACTTCTGGGACATTCTTCTAGCATAAAATATACTTGGCCTCTGTCCCGCGTTCCTGGCAGAGGTTCTAAAACATTTGGAATCTCCTGCATATTGAAAGTATTTTTGTCCTGAGGAGCCCCTTCGAATTATACCTGAGTTTAGCTAATAAGGTGACTTGGAGTGGGGCCCTCGGTAGCCCCAGTCAGGATGGGGCTGATCACCAGAAAGCCCCAGTTATGAGTGGGCTGGAAATTCCTGCCCCACTCACAGACCTCTGGTGAAGCAGTGGGTTCGAGAGGGAGAGGGGGTGAGATTAGCTCGATGAACATTCTTACAGCCCAATTCCAGGGTGCAGAAGCTCCAGTGCTGAGACCCCTTGCAGGCCCTGAACCCTGTATCTCTTCATCTGACTGCTCATTAGTACCCTTCATATAATAAAGGATACAGAATACAATTCTAACCACCAAGGATATAACTGGTAAATGTAAGTCAATGTTCCTGTAGGTTACGTGAACCATTCTTACATAGGATAAAACCCAATGAAGCGATCGTGAGGATTTCTGATCTACAGCAGTTCAGTCAGGAGCACAGGTGACAACCTGGATTTGTGACTGGCCTCTCAAAGGGGGAGCTGTCTTTTAGGACTGAGCCCTTAACCTGTGGGGCCGGACACTGTGTCCACATAGAGAGTGTCAGAATTGATTTCAACCGTAGGGTACTTAGCCAGTGTTCAGAGAGGAGGAGAAAATCACTTGGTGGTGTTGGAAAATATTCCAGACCCTCACTCTGTGTTTTCTAAGATGAGCATCCAACGAGGTATTATTTATCTGCATAGGATGCTAACTTTCAAGGAATGATTTGCTCCCACTCTTCCTAAGGAACAATCAATCACCCTAAGAGTGGTCATAATTTTCAAAGAAGACCTTAGTAGGACTCATAACTCACACAATTTCTCACCAATAATTTATTGGGGGATTGTACACTCCTTCCCCTTGAGCCCAACCGAATAATAGAAAGACTGTCATTAAATGCTTATGTGGTAAGAGACATCCAAGCCCCCATTTCCTTTTTTAAAATAATGTATTTAGGGAATGGCAGCTAAGATAACTCTCGGTTTGTTTTAAGCATATTTACTCGTGAATTGAAAGAGAAGCAAACTGCGTTATCCTTTGTAGTAATTGCTCCGCGTGCAGTAGGACGTGGGAGCCTCTGGCCTGAGGACAGAGAATGTGTCTTGTTAGCAGAGTCTTCCTTGAGCCATGTGTGAGGACGAGTGATTTAGAGAACGGTGCTCTGGTTGTGCTGATTTACTCTGTTCCTGGACTGTCGTGAATTACTTTCATTTAAATAAAAACAAGGTTAATCTTGAGGATAGCCAACATAATAAAGTATTTTTCTCCTTTCTGGAGTAGCAAGTTAAATAAATATGTAAGCCTTTCCTCACTCAGCACCTAAGGCCTCCTTGATTGAAGTCATCGATGCAGAGAAACATAAAGACTGTTTGGTTGAAATTAAAATGTGCCCCAAATATGTGAAGGTTTACCCCCATTAATTTGTATCTAAAATGGAAAAGGATGAACGTTTCATAACCCCTTGCACCTTGAGAAAAAAAAAAAAATCCACCGTAGGTGGGTGTTGCTGATGTAACATGGTACCGATGCACTGATTTTTCTAAGAAAGTAATGACTCCGTCTCCAGACTCAGCACCACGTGCGGTGCCCCAAGTTGAAGTGAGGCAGGTGTGAGGCAGAGTGTCCGTGACCCCACAACTACGTGGGTCCTACAAGTGGGTAAAGCAGACAGCGGGCCAAAGAGGGCGTGCTCCCGAGAGGACGGTCTTTGCCTGCACCCACCGGCTCTCCCAGGGGTACGATTTGAAAACAATTTTTCTTAGAATTAGCCTGAGTTATTAGGGCTATTTAAAACTACTTCTTTCCTGATTTCCTTCAGATGTTGAAAATTGTCTCCCTCCCCCTGGATGACTAGGGTTCCCTCTCATTCAAAATGAGAAAGCACAAAGGAAGTGCACATTCTAAAAGAATCAATCCCCAGGTGCCAGCACTTGTAAAATCAATACTAGTGCAATACAAAGAAAGTTGCCTCTTACTGGGGCAGATAATTAACATTACAAAACACTAAGGATGATTAATTTAATAGTCTCTGCATCTTTACCAAAATCCCATAAATAAGGCAAATTAACCATCCTCCTTACAGATGGAGCCCAAGGGATTAATGATTTATCTGTGGTCACTTGCTGGGAATCTAGAGTCACTGGGTCTTCTCTTCTTAAATTTTGAGCCCTTTTAGGGGCTTCGTTATCAATAATGAATGATAATATTTAAATTCCTTGAAAGCGTAAAGGTCCCATTCTTTAAATGAATCGAATGTTTATTGTGATTTTGAAGTCACAAAATAAAAACTATTCTAATTTGTAAGACTTTTGGATTGGCCAAACCATGACACATGTGACTTACATAGAGCCATGTTAGCTTATTTATATTTTTTCCTACCAATACTACTGGAGAGTGGAGCATTTCAAATATTTTTAAGTGATCTCATTATACTCCAATCAGTGGACTCAATTGATTCAAATCTTGTGCTATTTTATGGTTTCTGTTATTCCAATGCTCTATTTATTTTAAAGATAAGTGAATATATGGAATGTGTGTATCTTCTTGTATGCAACATATGTGCATTTCAATGTTTATGAATTTTACAGGAAAAATAGTAAACTAGATAATTTTATGCATATTAAAGTATTTAGAGGGAATCATAGTGATACCTGTGATTTGCCTTGAAGTGCATTAAAAGTAACAATTAATGGATGGATAGAAAGATAACAGACACATGACTAAGGATGTCTATAGTTCATTAACGGTGGAACCTATGTAGTAGGCAGTCAGATTTTTATTTCTAGATTATTTCAACTTTGCCTTATGTTTGAAATTTTTCTGACAAACTTGGGGGAAAAAAAAAAACAAGACCTTTTCTATGATATGCTTTTGATTTGTCTTTTAGAGATAGTTAAAAGAGAAAGGTAATTAGATATTTGTGTTCGCAGGTAGTTTTAGTGGCAAGGAGGTCATAACACAGTGACTGAGGCCGGAGCCATCCAAGAAAAGCCTAGACCCACACGAGCCATCCGGTTTCCCATGCTGAACGAGTCCGTGTGCAGAACCAGGTGGCGCGTACCTTCACAGGTTGGGAGGGAGCCTTCGAACTGCAGCTGGGCGCTGAGCTTGCAGGTCAGCGTGTCTGTCCCAGACAATGTGAACCCGGGGTGGCACTGGTACTTCACAAAATCCCCTGCAAGAGTCAAACCCAACAGGCCTGGGAATTAGTATGTTTCCATGACACACACAGAGTGTGAACCTTTTAAACATATAGATGGCGACTTAACGAATTGAGTCAGTGAACAGAGGTATTCCTCTTTAGCCTGTCCAATCAAATGGTGCCATTTTCACTTCTTCGGTTATAAAAATGCTGTCTTGACTAATATCAGCAGAGGCTGCATGGAGGGCTTTTTCACAGGCTGGTGTATCTACGTTCGCACCCCTTCCCACCGCGATTACGATTGAAAAAAAAAAAAAAAAGAAAGTGAACTGGGGTTGCTTGGGATTCAAGGATGTAGAGGAGAATGGCTTTAATGCATCCAGAGAGGGCTAACCCGTGACCTTGGCCTAATTAGCACCATGTTCCCATTAACTGAGCCATTATGAGTAGAGCAGAAATTGGATCACGTGGTTTGACCAGTGGTCTGAAACGTGGGGTGAGAACAGGGTGTTGGATTCGTAGCCGAGACAGAGAAATCCTGGGTCACAGCAATTAGACCACAAGCATATGCCACGGCTGGTTTCCTAATGTGACCTGATGATTATTTAATGAAATACGCCATTAATATAGGATGATGAAGCACAATTTCTAAATATTATCATTAAATATACTCACCAATTACATCCCAGTTTCAATGAAAGGTCAAAGTTAGACTCGTCATTATCTAAGCTACAAATGATGAAGCCCTTCTAGGGCATGAACATGCTTTTCTAACTGAACACAAATAACTAAGTCTGTCACTGGAAACTTTATTTAAAAGAAAAAACACAAACTAGCGAATGCAGGTGGGGACGTGCTCCAAAGGACAAAAGCAAGACTCAAATGGCAAAAAGGAGGTGAGGGAAGAAAAACACATTTATTTGATACATGACCTCTATGTCAGACTCCCGAGCAATGCTCTGGGATATTTCCGACAAATACTCATCTACTCATCTGAGTAACTACTGCGGTGAGGGGTGGGTGAGTTAAAAAAAAAAAAGAAAAAAGATGGGGTGAGCTGGTGATATTGTAACAAAGAACTCATTACCTATTTCAAAATCCTCATCCTCAGTAAGCATTTCCGCCTGTGGAACTGCCGGGGGAGGTTGGCATTTCTTGAGCTGAAATGCTAAATGGTTTATGGGAAAAACAAAAACAAAAACAAAAAAACACAATTACTTTTGCTGAATAAACAAAATTATTACCAAAAAAAAAAAAAGAAAAAGAAAAAGAAAAGAAAGCACCCCTTTCCTGTTGTTTCAATGCCCGGTGTGCTGCAGGATCTACGTCTGCTTTGGGACATTCTCTAGCTAACAGGACTATCTCACGCCGAAGCACACATGAAGCCGAAGGGGCTTGACCTCGTTTTGGGATTCTGGAAGGGAAATGGTTCCCCCACGGCCTGGTGCCAGGTCCATGCTGGCATTCGATGGGCCCCCCGCCCCTCATCCTGAGGGCACCCACGGGGGCGGGCCCTCCGAGATGGAAGGGACTGCTGGTCTTTTCTCCAAATGATTGATTTTCAAAATCAGGTAGGCTCGAGCAGGGGTCCAGGGAACCTGGAAGCTCGGCCGGGCCGGAGGTCATGTCCACACCGCCGGCTGCGAAGCCCGAGGGAGCGTGCCCGCTTAGCGTGCGGGGTGAAAATGCACTGACCGTGGAAATTGAGGACAAAGAAACCTCCGTTGGAGAAGTCGCTGTGGAACTTGAGCAGGACCTGGTTGGTGGAGCTGTACGCCGTCTCCAGGGCCGTGTTGCCGCTGAAGACGCCCAGCTGAGGGGAATTCTGGTCGGGCCCATCCCTAGGAAGGCAGGGGACTTTGAGGGCACAGCCCTTCCTCTTCCCCCGCCTCCCGCAAGGCGTTTCCCACAGAGCGGGCCCCCTTCCCAAGCCCTAGGGCGCCCTGGGGCCCCTGGAACCAAGCCTGGCCTCCTCCCGGGCCTGCTCCCTGACCCCACAGGACGCACACCTTGGGTCACCCTGGTACCTGGCTTCCCGGGTCTTCCAGCCTCCAGGATGACCCCCAGCACCCCACATAACCCTCACACCCTGCGCCCCATCAGTCCGGTGCAGCCCGTCCTGCCCCCCAGCCTGCCTCGAGCTCCTCACTGCCCACACAGCCCCAATGGGCAGCCCCAGTGCCCCCCCCCCAGCACTGCAGGCACCTGCCACCCAATCCCAGGGTCCCCGTGAGCTCTCACTTCCCAAAGTGGAGAGGAGAGGGCTGTTGCCACCAACGCGGAGCTGTAGCCAAGGGGCACACAGGGACCTGTCCAAGGCCGCGGGGCTCCCAGGAGCAGAACCAGAACCCAGGTCCCCAGCCTGCTTGCGCCCCACACACCACGTTTGCGGAGGCTGAGGGGCGGAAGGCTGTGCGTGATTCCCTCCTCCACATTCCTAGAGGCACTGAACTCTCATCGTGCAAGGGATCCTAACATACCTTCCTTTTGGAAAAACCACATCGAAAAACATAAAGTGAGATTATCTTGGAATAATCTATAACTAGAGTCCTCCTGAATTTATCGACCGCGTTACAGGACATCTATGCTCTCCGTCGCTGGATGCGTTCGGTAAATCTCATTTCCTATATCCACCCAAAAAAGTGCATTTCTTAATATGTCATGTGACACAAGAGCCCGCGGAAGGGGCGGCGGGAAACGCCTGTCCCCACGACGGATGGGCCTATGGGTAGAGGCGCTCCTACCAGACAGCGATGTAGTCGTTGACCGCCTCCGTCTGCAGCAAGGTGAAGTTGATGTAGACGCCGTGGCCAGGAGGGACCGTGATAAGCCAGACGCAGTCCTTCAGGATCGGGTACTCATCTGGAAACCCGGGCGAATAAATAGTACCGTTCTGGGATGTGACGTTATATCCGCAAGGAGCTGAGAAGGAAGCAAAGGCAGTGAAGCCCTATGCAGCCAGCTTTAGGAAGGACACGGCTATAGAACATTTCTAAGTCTCTAAATTCCCTAAAAAAATTTTTTTAATCTTCAAATTTAGATTTATTAAGACATTCAGCTATGTCTGTCAGTCTACATCCAAATTTGCTACAAAAAAATAAAATAAAGTCACATCCCCCATTAGGAATATGGAGTCTGAAAAACACTTTTTTGAGCCAAGCCTATTGTATAAATAAATGACTAGTTTCTTTTCATATCAAAATTCCCACAAAATATTACATTCCCCTCTCCCCAGTTCTACCTGTTGCCATGATGAATGTAAAACTTTAAATGTGACACATCCTTGTCAAAGAAAAGGTGCAAAGTCTATTAACAGCTTTAAAGGTGGGATTTGCAGAGTGTGATCATACAGGTATGTACTCATTCCCTAGGTGCAGAGATTGCCATGATTTAACACTGTTTTGATTCAGTTGCAAGAATTTAACATTACACAGAATCAAAAAAAAATACACTTATGGCCTTTATCAGTGCCCCAAAGCCCTTCCCGCTTTGGTCTCCTACCCTAATGTGGACTAAATCTTCCTTATAAGAAATAATTGTGAATTATTTCTCGGTCACCACTTGGTCAAAGTAATGCCCCCAACGTCTTAAATTCTTAGAAGAATCACACTTCTAAACTAAGCTATCTAAGTTCCACTTAATGCGTTCTCCAAACACCTCGGGATAAAGTCATTCCCATATAATTAAGAAAAAAAAAAGGCCCTCACTTAATCACTCCGTTATTTTCTGCGACAGAGCTGATAATCCATTGCACTATGTGATGCGAGGGATTATGGGGAAATTACCCATAAATACATAATGGAAACTTTTTTTGTTGTTTTTGTTTTAGGAGAGATTTCCAAGACCCATTTCAACAGCCTAAAAGAGCGGCATCCAAGTCCACTCGCCTAAGACAAAAATATCAATCCCTGGCAGGCGTCTGCCTGCAGAAATGAGACCAGGTCAGGTGAGTGGGGTTTTACTGAAGCACTTCCACGTCTCACCAGCGTCCAACGCTGTGCAGACTCACGATCCCTAACCCGCCGGTTTATTTCACTTAATGACCTGGTGTTCCCCGTTACCATGGCGATTACTCTGTCTTCTCTACGGACAAAGGAAGTTGACCCTACGTTAGCAGAACAACTGGAGCTGCAGTGTCACGTTCAGAGGGCGGGTCAATACGTCAAAGTCATAAGCGACCGGGCTTTTTAATCAACCCAAATCCGACAGATGTGGTCTCGGCCGCCAGATGCTGGGTGTCTTCTGGAGTGTTCAAAGATGCATCCCGGGGTGTGTCGGGTGTGGGTGCAGGGAACACGGCCAAAGTGTGTCGTTGGAAAGAGAAACCGACACTTCGGTGCCAAATAATGAGTGACGGCGGGCCGTGGACAGCCCAGGGACCAGGCAATGCAGGGTAAACCAGGCTGCATCCGGCCCGAGCTTTGCATGAATCCCCTGGGAGAAGGGGCCGTGGAGAACGTCCCACAAGTTCTATGGGTGAGCTTCCATCAGTGAGGTGTGGGGCCGGCCGAACCTGGCTTGTTAACCAGCCACGCAGAGCACGGGGACACCTACGGACCGTCGCCGTCACAGTGGGCTACCCGGCGGCCCCGGAGCTGTGAGACCTCCTCCTCCCACCCCGCTGCCACGGGGAGCAGAGCCATTTCTTCCAAACTCGACTGAGACGCAACCTCCGCCCTAAAGGCGGCTCGTCTGTCCGTCCACCGTGTGGCCGTAGCCGCTGCCATCTGTTCTCCAGGACTAGACGGTTGGCGGCCACAGGTCACGGAAGGCATTCCCTTGCACAGCCACCCACAACCCAGTCTCACGAGGCCTCCATGCCTCGCTCAGGTCACCCTAAAGTAGAAACCACAAATAACCGATGAGCTGACAATGAGTAGGACGGTCGCCACCGGATAGTTTAGCCCTGCATGTCCTGAAGCGGGCGGCGGGCCGGCCTTACGCGCACCTGAGGTCGTTCGCTGGGAAACGACTTGTAACCTGCCATCGCCCAGACTCCCTGCACTTTGACTTTCCAGGTTGGAGCTTGTAGCCGTGTGACCCCGTCGTGTATCGGGGAGCACCTTTCCCAGCAGTGACAACACGCAACAGAACAAGCAAGAAGGACTGAGTCCATCTCTTCGAGAGCAAAAGAAACTGCATGGGGATTTCTGCGGGAGGACGCCTCGCGGGCTTCTGAGGTTCTCTGTGTCGCTCGCGGTAGGACCCCGGGCAAGCCAGGGATCCGAGCCGGGGTCTGCGCATGACACCCAGGTCACAGGTCCACCACTCACTGATCCAAGGAGTCTTCGATGAGAGTCTATCGTGTCCCGGGATGTGCAGGGTTAGAGCAAGACACCCAGCCAGGGACGCGGAGCGCAGGGGTGCTGGCGGGGGACCCAGCAAGGGCTACGTGGAGTCAACTGCTGTGGACACGATGAGGGAACAAATGAACAGCGCTCGTCACGCGAGCTAATACGACCCCATTAGTGCACAACGTGTGCAACCACCCTTCGCCACAGCCCCCGACCTGTCACCCCAGGGAAGGCTTTGCCCTCACTGCAGTGGCCCCACAGGCACTGTTAGATTTCCCGGTCAGGGGGCCTGTCCCTGGATGAGCGCGGACACAGCGGACGTGCTGTGACTCAGCACGCCCTGGGTCTGGCCGCTCAGTGTCTCCTGGGGGTGAAGCTAAGTGCACCCCGAGGTGTGGATCAATCGGGAAGCTGCTGCGGGGAGCAACCTGGGACTGGATCCCCTACCGGCTTCCACTGCCTGTGTCCTGGTTGCCGGTCATGGCACAATGGGGAGGCCACCGGCTGGCCAGATGACTGGTGATGCACTGCACACCCCACGGCCTCTCACAGTGGGGCATGATAGGGCATCAGGCTGTCCTCCGGGCCGGGGCGGGGTGCCATGCACTGGGCCGCGGGGATTCACACCAAGAGGTACCCACCCTGTCTTGCAGTCTGACCTCCGGAAAAGGCCCCAGGATAGAAGATGGGACGAGCCTCTGTCACTCCTGGCAATATGCTTTCAACCCTCCCCAAGCTTGCCGATGACGGGACTAGGAAAGCACTCAAGGGTGGCGCTGGTTGCCAGGGGAACCCAGCAAGTAATTGGAGGACCGGAAATTTCCGGCTGCGCCCTAACCTCCCGGGGGCTGTAGGGACCCGGAGCCCAGTGTCATCAGCAGGGTCTGTCATACCCCATGATGGAGACGCCGGGAAAACCTCATGGGACAGGGTCGGGGGATGCCTCTTGCTGCACACGTGGGAGCTGGGAGGACGGTGGGTGGGACGGTGATGACTCTGCGCCCGCCCCAGCACCCCTGCCTGCCAGGCTCCTGCACCCTCCAATCGCAGGCATCCTCTGCATGCACCGCTGCCTCGGAGGTCACGTGATTCCCTGGGTCCCGGGAGTGGCTCCAGCACGTGCACCCAGAAGGTGACGGGGTCACGCACACTTACAGCCAGTGCCCGAGATGTCCGAGGGACCGCAGGTTCCCCTGGGGGCACCAGCTGTCCTCGGGGACACGAGTCACAGCGTGGTCCATGGTCGGCCCTGTGGCGGGCTCCCTGGCGGCCTGTTGCTGGGACGGAGGCGCGGTGAGAGTTGTGTGAAGCCTCTGCACATGCTCGTTCCACCACGACCGCCGTGACCCGAGGAGGGTGCGCAGCCTGAAGTGAATGATGGAGGAGAAGCGCTCAGGCCTTTCTGCGGGTGTCGCGGCCGAGGACCAGACGTCGCGCCCCATCAGGTGCAGAGCCGGGGCAGCTGCGCTGAGCTCAGAGGTGGCCCGGTCCCGGGCCCCATCTGCACTGAAGGCCTCCTGGAGGCAGCGTCCACCCGCATCCTCACCGGGTGCCCGCTCCGCCCTGAACCACTGCCCAGGGTCACCGGGGGCTCTTCTCTCTGTCGTTTGAGAACCTGAGGCTTTGGGGTGGCTCACAGGGATAGGGACGGTGTATCTCAGCCCCCGGCTCCCGTGAGGCCAGAGCCGGGAGACGCGGAGGATGAGCGGGTGGGCCTGGCGGACCGCAGCCGGGCAGGGGGCAGCGTCACGGCACTGTGTCTGGGGGCTAGGCTCGGGGAAGTCCACGGCCCACGCGTGTTCACTGCTCTTTCCTCCACTTCAACAAGTGCAGAGTGCGCTTCTCTGAACGGACACGGATGGAAAGAGCTTATCAAGCGAGTCCAATCAGAAATTCAATCTTAAAAACCCTGAACAGCCACTAGGACAGTCACAGGCCATTTAGAGATGGTTGTGTCCAGGATTCCATTAAGGCTTCTGCGTGACCTTTAGTACGAAGGCGAAGAAAAAGCTCACGACATTAAACAGCAGATACCTGCATTTGGCATGAATATTTATGAAGTTTTAAACTCTTGACTATTCCTGCAGCCAGGAGCTGCACACCTCATCTCACTGAATGTGTGCAGCACACAGGTATTTCTGATTTACATTTTTTTCCCTTTCACTTACTTTGGTTTCCTTATGATGGTTTTGAGATAGACGTAGTGCACCCTAGCTTAGGAGTTGTTTGATAATGGAAATATTTAGAATAAAATGTATAACCCAAACCTTATATTTATATACATATCACATATAACATATCGCATGTTATAATATATATTACAAATGTTTATAATATATCAGTAAAAAGAGATAGTTGTATTCTTTATGATTTCCTTTTTTCTATGAACTATAGGAAGAGATTATTTTCTGTGTCCATCAGTCAACTTGGTAAACCTTAATTTTAAAAATTACTTATATAATAACATATTCTTCGACTGCTTGGATTTCTCACATCAATTATTCAATCAAATAGCGTTCTGATTACAATACCTGTCAATCTAAACGAGGTTGCTAACACGCTAATTGCAACACATTAAGTTATCCTAATAATTCTCTCTGTGACACAGTTCCCCACTATACCTACTGCCGCATTTTATGTCGAGGAACATTAGGACAGCGCTTAACTTAAAAAAAAACAAAACAAACAAACAAACAAAAACAAAACAAAACAAAAAAACCTTAAAAGTATATCTATATAAATCTTTCAGATTAAGGTGACAAAATGTCTAAAATTTTTAAACTGTATTTGTAAGTAAAATGCATATTTAATTATCAAATTACATTTTGTAAACTGATGCCTTTTTAATTGTATTTTATTTATTTTACCGATTATAACCCTTTTTTTAACTGACACTTCTGTATGTTACTAGCAAAAATAATGTCTTGAACTTCTCAAGTCACCTTGAGACATATTTTTTTCTTTTGATATCATACTTTTAGTCCAGAGGAATTTAGAATACACTAATTTTACATAATAAATCCTTATTCAATAAACATATTAATATTGTCAGCATGTACATATAACTTGGTTTGATATATGCTTGGAAGGACTGATGCCTTAAGATTTATAATTCTTGGGCAGCCCGGGTTGCTCAGTGGTTTAGCAGGTGCCCTCAGCCCAGGGTGTGACCCCGGGGTCCCGGGATCGAGTCCCACGTCGGGCTCCCTGCGTGGAGCCTGCTTCTCCCTCTGCCTGTGTCTCTGCCTCTCTCTCTCTCTCTCTCTCTCTCTGTTTCTCATGAATAAATAAATCTTTTAAAAACTTTAAAGAATAAGATTTATAATTCTTGAATCTTAATTGTCTGAATTGCTCAATTTTTACTAAGGATGCCAGAAGTTGGTCAAAGTATCTATGTTCTCTTTCATTTCCCCCCAAAACATCTATGATCTATTCCAAGATTCCTCTGAAGTATACAGTGTTGGACCTTTGAAGATTGTTTTTCAGGACATTTTTCCTACACACTAAGAATAAATCTGAACTGAAAAACCATGCTGGATTAGTAAAATACATTTCAGGTGAGCATCCTGCATAATAAGCAGAGTTTGCTGATGTTCTGTGAGGGCCTTAACCATAGTCTAAGTGGACACTAATAGACATCCTAACAGCCTACCATTATCAGGAAATATATATATATATATGAACTATTCATAAAGATTTATATATATTTATATATAAAGATATATATATATAAAAGAAAACTATTATATATAGTTATATATACAAGAAACTATTCAACTATTATATATATAAATTCAACTGTTATATATATATACATAAAGGATATATATATATATATATATTTATATATATATCTTCTTGGAAATACAGCCTTTCACAGATAAAATAACTTTTGTTATACAATAAATATTATTTTTGAGCTTAAGCCAATAGGGAGAGGTCATGAAACACACATTGGATGGTGCCTAGAAAATTTATTTTATGATATAATTTTATGTGAATCTCATGTTGTGGGTTTTTATTTTGTCTATAACATTAAAGAGATGAAACAGAGATAAAATGGTAACAAGATGTGTGTAGTAAAGAATTTGACCTTGCCTAGAGAGAGGTCTAGCCCTCTATTCTGGGAGGGAATTTAGGGCATTCCTGATAGGAGCATCTTTGTTTCATGTGGGGGCTGGCCATACCCGATAGTTGTAGGATGGAGCTGGCCATGCCAGAAAGACCAGCCACAGAGGTTCAGGTCGAACCTTTGGTTTATAGGATGGGAGTTGGTCTGGACGCCGACAGCAACCACCAGGCATCCATCAATCTGTCATATGACCTAACAGAGCCCCAGCTAAAAACTCTGGCACTAAAACCCAAAGAGCTTCCCAGGTTGGTGACATTCTGGGCTTATGGTCATCAATCAGTTCTGCAGAGTGATGCTTCCACCCTGCCCTAACCCAGGCATCTTTCCCCATGATTTTAACGTGTCCTTTCCTTGTTATAAACACAACCAGAGTAATAAGACAGCTTAGTGAGTTCTGAGACTCCCTTTAGGAATCCAGCCTCAGCGTGGACTCTCATACTTTCACTTGATGTCTGGAGGCCGTTAGCTTCAGGTTGGCCAACTCTGGGTAGTACGACGTACCACGACGTAATTATCAAAGGTGGCATCACCTCTGAGCTACACCACAAACAATATATTCTCTTATTTTCACAAGGTAATTCTAAGCCAGCAGTTATTTCTATTTTTGAAAGCAGAGCTTGAAAAAGTGATGAAGCCTTTTTCAGTATTTAATTCTACTCTTTTAATATCAAGCCAGAAAGTCTCTCATGTGTCTATGAATTCAAAGAATTATGGTGAAGATACAAATAAGGGTTTAATCATGACGATTCAAAGTATTTTACATATATGCAGATCTATGAATTTATACATGGTGAGTAGTAAAAAAACGTTTTTTAAGTGTTTTAATAAAAAACACCATACATGCTACTACTATGCTTAGTCTTATTTTTTTTTAGAAGATTTTATTTATTTATTCATGAGAGATCAGAGAGAGAGTGAGAAGCAGAGACACAGGCAGAGGGAGAAGCAGGCTCCATGCAGGGAGCCCGATGTGGGAGTTGATCCCGAAACTTCAGGATTACACCCTGGGCTGAAGGCAGGTGCTAAACCACTGAGCCACCTGGGCTGCCCTATGCTTAGTCTTATAAAGTAATTTTTAAAATGCTGTTTTAGGTATTATTAAAATTTGCATTAGACTAAGGATTTTTTTAAATTTTTTAAAAAATATTTCTTTTTCTTAAGGAATTTAAAAAATACAGCTGAAGGGTTTTTTTTTCATATTTTTTAACAATAATATAGAATGGAAAAATAATTTAAAAAGTCCATTGGTGTATTTGTGTTTTGCTTTGTTTTGTTTTTACTTTTTCAGAAGAAATTCAAACATACCTAGTTGCATTTCCCTTTTGCCACATGGGATATACGTGTTTAGCATTTCAAAGGACCGCAGAGTTGGCAATTTCATTATTTTTTCACTCAAAGGTACTGTTTACAATGTCTGAATATTAGGCTTGTAGTGACTTTTCTGTTTCATACGCTGTCCTCATAACGTACTTGATCTATTAACTTCGACTTGATGTTACTTTCAGATTTTAAAACCATCAAACAAATCAGATAGTCATACAGAAGCTTCAGACAAGTGATTCCTGCTCAAACTAGGGACATTTGATGAACCCGGATTCCCTCTGTCAACACCGCCTGTCCACCCGACTCCTGCGAACCCCGATTCCCTCTGTCAACACCGCCTGTCCACCCGACTCCTGCGTCTCCTGAGAAACCCTGATCATCACACACCGTTGAACCGCACAACTACATTATTTTCCTAGGGCGGCTTCTACACCCTGTCTTTGCTTACACCGTATTTTCTACCCTGGAGGCTCCATCTCTGAGCAGCGAAATACTATATGTGCTTCAAGGCCCACGACAAAAACAAAATCCGTTTTCTAAAATACAAAAGCAATATATGATCGTGGTCAAAGTTTACAATAAAAAAAAAAAAAACATCTAGGGTACAATTAATAAGCATCCTTCCCTCCACTAATCCTGTAACCCTGTGCACTGTCATTCTAAATACGGCGACCGTCATAAAGATTTATCTGGTCACTTCTCAAGCAGAGGCCACCCCTCTACACGCGACTCAACAAAACCCTCTGCCCGTGTGTGGTTTTGCGTTTATCACTTTGTTTTCTTTGTCGTTGCCGTGAGGGCAAGACCTGTTTATTCACTTTTTAATTTGCTGGTATATGAAATATTCCTGAAATACTAAGTAGAGTGAGTTTAACATAATTGATCCCCAATACGTATTGGCTGAATACGTTAACGGATTCTTTAACACGTCCCTTTAATAATTGATGCACTATTATATACACAAAAATATTAAATTGTTGTCCAGGACGATTAACCTACCGTCACATCTTGGAAAGGGATAATTCCAGTTTCTGTTGATCCCATGCTGACAGGTAAGGACGGGGTGGCCGATTAAAATGTACCCAGGGTAACACTCGAAAGAGATGGATTGGCCCACGCTGTAGTCCGAGTTGATCATATAACCGTTCTGGAACGGAGGCGGGTCCGGGCAGTTCTGCAGCTCATAGGCTGAAACATAATCAGGTGCACAGACAGGAAGGTAAGCGACTCTGGAATTGGGAGGACGATGGTCACACGCGGTTTCTTAAGGTGAAGCTTTTTGGTAAGTTTTAAGACAGATATTCCCCAGGTTGCCACTTACCGTCCTGAGTGAAACCATAATCAGTAGCAGTAACAGAATTATACCAACTCCCGCCTACTAAGTACTTACCTGCGTGATTTAGTAAAGCGCACACCGACACTAAATCTGATGGTGTTGACCTTGGAAAAGACAGTAGATGGTGTGAAGTGACATTTTTATTTTATTTATTTTTATTTTTATTTTTTTTGTGACTTTTTTTTTTTTTAAAGAAGTAAGACAAATGATAACAAAAATTGCCTCTAAGGAATGTCTGGCGATTGTGGGCCTAACTCCCTTTTAATTTAAATGAGAATCATGCTAGCCCTCCATCCTCAGCGTTACTGACTAGGAAGCATGCGGCTGTTGTTATGTTTTGATCCGTCAATTAATTGTTCCCGACAAAATTTACAAAGAATCTATTCCATTTTCTGCTTTTTTGAAAAAAAGCTCCTGTAGAAGCATTGTGCTAGCAATCACTGTCAGTGCAATCATTAATCAAATACAGTTCGTGCAATAAATAATACCTATTATGACGCTTACATTTTAAATATGATGGAGTCACTGCACAGTTGACACACACGGTGTCTCTGCAAGTTCCAAAATTGTGAGATGGATTTCAAATTTTAACAGAACGGTTAAACCCTCACTGCAGCTAGCGGATGAAAGAATCCTTAATTTCACTCCTTTCCCATTTCAGCATCCCTCGGCTTTACTTATTATATTTGCACCTGTGTGTCTCTGCACAAGGATCAGACACGCAGCTAAAGGCGATTGCATGCAAGCAGCAGAGATCAGAGGATGCGCCAGCGGGGACGTCTCTGAGCATCTTGAGACACCTGCTGGCACTGCCCCCCCACCCCCCGCCACGGCCCCTGTGGGAAGCTGCCCTCAGCCCCGGGAAGCGCAGGGCGACGGCCAACTACGAACCAGATCGGAGCCCACGTCCCAGAGGCTGGTGCGCGAGGGGACCCCCGACCCGCCTCGTGCTAGAAAGGGATTCACCGCGTCCCACTTGTAGCACATGTGGTGATGGCAGGGAACGACCTCCTGGCGCGTGGGCACCGAGAGGACGCGGCCGGCTGCAGGGTTCTGGGCCCACCGCCATCTCCTGGCGCGTCGCCTTCACAGCTCAGAACCCTCACTTCTGTGAAGTCACACACTTTACCAACAAAGTAGTGAGTTTCTGGTGAAGCCACCGTCGAGCACGGAATCCCTGAGACTGAGAGGAGGAGAAATCAGCCCTGAAGGCTTTCTCCCGGATCCGTGAGCATCCGACTCACGATTACTGTTAATGGGGCTCCGAGCTCTAAGCCACGTGCCGAACAAGAAGTGCTGTCACTCGTCGTGGAAGTGGCGATCGAGCACGAGGCACCGGGCGCCAGGTCTGCGCAGGCGCGCCCCGGCTTCCTTCACCCGTGGGCACAGCATGTGGCTTCGGCAGCCTCGCAGAGAAGCCGTCGGCAGGGCAACAGATCTCTAGCTGCCCGAAGGGAAGAGCCCCCGATCCGGTGCGAGAAAATATGTCTTGAAAGAAAGTGTCTCAAGGACCAACGGCACACGTGTCGTTACCGGTTGTCCTTGTGGTCACAACCCGCGGCAAACCTCGGCTCAGGAAGCTGTGAAGTAAGGATGAGGCCCGGGGACCTGGGACCAGAAAGCAAGACAAACGTGCACGACTCTCTCTCTACGACACGTGAAGGGACACACGCGTGCGCACCCCACACGCGCATGATCCACACACGTGCACACCCCACTCGCACACGATGCACACACGTGCACAATCCACACACAAGTACACCCCACACACGTGTACAATCCACACGTGCACACCCCCACACGCACAATCCACACATGCGCACACCCCACACAAGCACGATCCACACACGTGCACACCCCACAAAGGTGCACAATCCACACACGTGCACAGCCCACACATATAGTCCACACACATGCACACTCCACATGTGCACATCCCATACACACACATGCACTCCTAATACCTGCACAATCCACACATACACATGCACACTCCACATGTGGACAATCCACACACATGTGCACACTCCACGTGCACAATCCACACACGTGTGCACACCCTACCCATGCACAATCCACGCACACACATGCACACACATATGCATGCACACAAGCACTCACACGTGTACACACACACACAGTTGCACATCCATACGTGTTCACTCGCACATATGTGTACCCCATTCCTTTCCTTTATCCCCCTACCGTGCTCCTTCCAGGCCAACCAGGCAGACACACCGCAAGGCTGCCCACACCTCCCAGGGGCCACCCCACACTGAGAACAGCCTTCTCCTGAGAGCCAGGGCCCAGCGGCTTGGCAAGTGTCCACTGCGCGTGGCAGGCCTCCCTGCAATCTTGTTATCCGAGTCTGAATTTACTTTATAGACCCATGTTCACGAAAAGAACAGACTCCCATACTGTGCTTCAACTATCAACCAATTTCCTACTTTATTACACTCTTTCAGGATGAAATCAGCAGTTTGTCCTCATTCTTGTTTTGCTTGAAATATAATAAACTCTGTTGGAGAAATGAGTCCTCTAATATATCACATACAGCGCCTAATAAAAGTCTGTGTGTGTGTGTATATATATAAAACGGATGGCGGTTTCCATGTGAGAAGCATCTAATAAAACCGGGTTCAATGTAGCCTCCACCTCCCCAGGGGGCTCTGCTGGCGGCTAGGCAGGGCCTCTGGGGCATCACCCCAAGCTTCAGTTACCACAATATGTCACAAACAAGGTCCCGTTAATAGAGATTCCTAGTGGCTCCTCACGCAGAATAGCACTTAGCACGCACACGTCGACTCACCCCGGGGCACACACCGCCGAGTCGGGGAGCAGAGGTGGCGGAGGCCCCCACGTCCCCTGGAACATGGCTTTGAAGACTCCCTCGGGTGCTTGACTTCTGTCAGGCGAGCATCGGGCCGGGCGCCCAGCAGCGGGTAAGGCACGTGCAGTCGTGCACAGGACTCCTCGGGTGCACACCCCACACCTGCACACTGCACACACGTGCTCCTGCTGCCAGACTGGCCGCGACGCCGCCTCGAGGGCAGCCCCCTCCTGCTCGGTGGCGAGGCCAGGATCGTGGTCTCGCCCTTAGCCTGGACTATCCCCCGATGCTGCGATGGGCCACACAAGCTACTGGATGGCAACAGCGACCGCGGAGGCTGCCTGGCCTGGGGGGCAGCCCGGGGGCTCGGGGGGTGGCGGGCTCCAGGCCTCAAGGGAGAGGCCTCAGCGGGCCTTCACGTCGTGGAGGGAGAGGGGTGTGCATCCAGAGGAACCACCGGGCGCTGGGCGGGGGGACGCTGGGCAGGACCCGGGGCAAGTCTGAGCTCAGGACAGCACCGACGTGCAGCGCGCAGCGCTGTGGCCTCCGATGTCAGGAGCTGAGCCTGGGAGCTCGGCCTCAGGTGGACCCACTACAAGGTCAGCAAGGACCCCGACAAGGCGGGCACCTGTCTGCTCAAGCCTGGGGCACCCTGGGGGGTGGGGGCTGGGCCTCCCTGCTGGCCGGACAGGGTGAGCAGAGCCCGGCCTCGCTCTCCTGCCAGACGGGGTGGCTCAGGGCCTCGCGGCGAGGGACAGTCTCAGGGGACATCACGGTCCTGCAGAAAGCGTGGTCGGGCTGCGATGAGCAGTCAGCGAGCCACACGCGCCGCCCGGAAGGCACCTGCGTTGCTTCCCCTCCTGAAGGGAGGAGCCCATCTACAAGCCAATGTCTAGTTTCTCGTAGATTCCATCCGCTCAGATTCAGCAGTTTTATGATTGAATAAGATGATGATGATATGATGAATAAGAAGACCCAACACATCCCTTCTATAGCAATACCGGTGCTTAGTACAGGGAGCAAAAGGAAAAAGGAAAAGAGCGGATCTCTGAACAAAGAGACATTTTCACTTCCTATGGTGGACGTAATTAACATCGCCTTTCGGGGTTTGGGGGGCATTCCGTCATTACATTGTAATGCCAGAAAGGGAGGCAGAGACAGGAATATCCAACTTCCCCGAATGTCCACTTGGAAAAACCAAAAGCAAGAGTCACTAAATTCTTAATGGCCCCAAACTCCCCCCGCCTCATTGTTAAAATCTAAGTACCCATTACTTATGTCCGTTGACCTCCAGCGACCCTGGGTCGAGAGTTTACAGCGTAGGGTGTCATGTGACCGCCAGGGACCCGCGTGGCCGGCTTCCTGGTATCGACTGCAGTTTCCCATCTCTAAGGAACTGATAGATTTCGTGCATGCAGGCCCTTCACTTTCCAGCCTTTGGCTTAGAAACAGGGCCACGGACTCACTTTTATTCAACACAGCTCTTCGCCTTCCATCCCTCAAGTCCTGTAGAAGTCATTTGACTTCTCGACAGCTACATCCACCGGTAGCATTTCCGACCTTTATGCGGCCATAAATAAATGACAAGGCTTGAGAATAAGGGGCACAGCACAGACAGCACGGACAATGACAGCCCTCACCTGCATGACTTATGCATCTTCTGACGAGTCATTAATTACAAGCGTGGCTTCCACACCTCAGGTAGGGCCTGGGGATTTCGATGTGACTTACAGGTCCACACTGTGTCATTTCGCCAATTTATAAATTTCATACAGTGAAAAAAAAAGTTTCATACAGTGACAAACACTGGTCAGCTAATTGTCATCTCTGTCAGATAGGGTACCCTTCCAGAAACTGGAGCACCACAAATTCAGGCTCTCATTTTCTGATTTATTTTTACAGCATTCATTTATAGGAAATTAATTGCCTATAATAAAAAGTTACATGGCTTAGGTATTATTCATTTACTATTTTCCCCTTTTTAAAAATTTATGTAATTAATTTATTTTTTAAATTTAATTTAATTTAATTTTTTATTTTTTTTAATTTTAATTTTATTTATTTTTTATTTATTTACTTATTTTTTTGGTAAATTTTTTCTATTGGAATTGCAACAAAAAGACCTTTTTTTTTTAACATGGATACTTAAAATAGGGTCAGGCATCAAGTACATAAAACATTTGCTCAGTCAATTAGATGTTTGGCCTAGATGAGAATTCACAAAATAAAATGTTTAAAGGCCACACAGACAGCATCAATGATCCAAGCTCACAGGGGCTAAAGGAAACTTCTGAAGTCGATGCCTTTCCACTCCGAAAGGGGCCGTCACTAGGGCACCTCAGGGGACTGTCCCTCCATGTGAACCCTGACCAAATGTTTGCAGATTCTGATTCTGCAAGATAAAGGGAAGTGGATCTACAGATATTTCACAAATCACGTGAAATGTAATTCGAAATATTTAAAATATTTAATAAATAAAATAACATGTAATAAATAATATATTATATATTAATACTAATATAATTATATTTTAATACTAATATAATTATATATTAATCAATATAATTATATATTAATATAATATATTATATGTTAATACTAATAAAATCATATAATATATTATACGATCATATATTAATCATAACATAATCAATTAATATATTAATAAATAATATATTATATATTAATACTAATATGATTATATATTAATAATTATATATTAATTATATCTATAACTAATATAATATATAATTAATTATATATATAATACATATATGATACATATATAATATATGATATATGATATATTATATAATACATATATAATATATAATATATATGCATATAATATAATATATAATATATAATTAATATATAATATATAATACAATAATAATAAATAAAAATATTTTAAGAATAATCCTTTGCCAGCCAACTGCAGCTACTTGTGACCTCTTGTCTGGATAATTCCTATTTAGACTTTGTGTGTGTGTAGTGCGTGTCTATTTCAAATCATTCTTTTTGGGTTTAAGTAATTGGTAGCCTCAGAGCTATGCAGGCAGGGCCTTAATAACCCTTTCCTGGAAAATATCAAGAAGAATAAAATGAAATAATATTTTTGAACTATGGAGGTTAGAGTCATGCAAGATAAAATGTAGCTTCAAAAACTATACTAAAATATAGTGCCATTCATGGGAATTGGTATCTGAATTTAGGTCAATAAGGAAAGAAAAGTCAGATTTTGAATACAGTATTGAGAATATTCAAATTGGGGAAGATTTTTGAAAAGTCTTTTTGGGACTCTGGGATTCTTGGGATCAACTGAGATTAATCACGCAGTTGGCAGCTTATGGAGAGGAGAGTCACCGTGTATCTCTTTCCTACTGGGTCATACACTAAGATCACGCTGAGTGAATGGCGCAGGTCACCATGTAATAACCCGGTTTAAAATGACAATGTTTTTTTTTTTTTAATGACAATGGTTGTGAATGAAACGTTCACACTTTAACAGAATGTACGTTTCAATAGAAAGAGGGGAAGGGTAGAGACCAGATATACATAAACATGAAAGAGAAGCCTGGAATTCACAGTAAATACTACTGAGGTTTCAAGTCCAGCCACGCGGACAGATAGAGGCCAGGACAACGGGAACGTGTGGAGGTGGAACGCTCCTGTCTCGGACACCGGCCAACGCCTTCTCACCCTCTGCCAGGGAAAGTGAGGAAGCCCAGCGCACATGCACACGCACACACATGTGCACACGTGCACGCAGGCCCGTGCTGCTCTCCCAGCAGCGCCTTAGGTCCAAGACCTTCCTGTCCAACAATGCCACAAGATGCAGGGGCCCCCTGCTTGCCTGGCACCACGCCAGCCAGAAATTCTCCCAAGTCTCTCCTCGTCCCAGAAGCCCTCAGCCCAATGGCGCGTTCCCACGAGGGCGTCAGGACAAAATGCATGGGAGCCAGACCCTGCTGTCATCCTGCGCCAGCCCCGGCCCCTGGCACCCTGGCCGGCACTCCCAGGGCCCCAGCGCCCCTCCACGGGTGTCCGTCCTCCCTACAGAGGAAACCCCCTCTTCTTAACCCTGGAGCTTTGTGCTGGTCTCAGGCCAGAGTGCTGCCCTTTGTGTGGCACCGTCTCAGGTGACGTGTGTCCTTGGTCAGCCTGAGGGGCTGCATGAGACTGGGGACACCGGGGCTGGGAACGCCCTCGCCTCTCACGGGGAAGAATGAAGGTGGCCCAACTTGCAAGGCTGTTCTCCGGGGGAAAGAGGAGGATGCGGAGGAGGAGGCATGGGATGCAGGCGGGGGGCCTGGCATGACCCCAGAGATGCCGCGGGGCTGCCCAAGGATGACGGTGGTGGGCATGGCGGCAGCGGGGGATACGAGCGGAGCAGGGAGGCAGGCAGCCTGCAAGCGGAGCCCACCTGGAAATAAAGGTGCATGCTGAGCGCTGCCCGGAGGCCTGGCGCCTGGGTGACGCGGGGGGCGGGGGGCAGCGGGAGGGACTCCGGTCCTGGGACCCACAAAACTCGAGCACCGGGATGAGCAGGACGGCTGTCCCGTCCCGACCGCCCCAGCCTCCGTGTCCAGGTGTGGAGGATCCCGGGGGACGTGATGATGGAAACGTGGGGCTCCGTGAGCCCTGCACGGGCCGTGGCCAGTCCAGGGGAGGAGCAAGGCGCACAGGTAAGGAGGTCCCGTGGCTGTGGAGTCGCCACGAGATTGCGCTGTCCCTCAGGGCGGGGAGCAGGGTCTGCCAGCTCAGGGACCGTGCAGGACACACCCAGGGACACGTGACTTGGTGCATGCCCTTGGGGGGGCGGGAGCGGAAGACGCCATGGGTGCCAAGGTGTGGCACAGGCTAAACGAGACTGGGAAAGAGCCGACGGCAAGAGACCAGTAGCTGAGAAACGGGGTCACCCAAGGCCCCAGACTGTCTCCCAGAAAGTGGAAGCTGAGGGCAGACAGGGGTCAAAGGCACACTGGAAATTATGTATAAATAGATGTGTGTGCACCTGCATGTATGCACCTGTGTGTGCCTGTGTATGTATACACCTGCCTGTGTACCCGTATGTATAACTGCACATGTGTATACACCTGTGTGTGTACCCGTGTGTGTACCCATGTGTACACCTGTGCATGTGTACACCTGTGTGTGCACCTGCATGTATGCACCTGTGTGTGCCTGTGTATGTATACACTTGTCTGTGCACCCATATGTGTACCTGCACATGTGTACACTTGTGTGTGCACCTGTGTGTGTACCCATGTTTACACCTGTGCATGCACCTGCACTTATGTGTATACCTGTGTGTGCACGTGCACTTGTGTGTATACCTGTGTGTGTGCCTGCATGTATGGACATGTGTGTGAACCTGCGTGTTTGCACTTGTATGTGTACACCTGTGCGTGTGTAGCTGCATGTGTGTGCACCTGTGTGTGTACATTGGTGTGGATACCTGCATATGTGTGTACACCTGTGAGTACCTGTCTGTATACCTGTGTGTGCACCTGTGCATTTGTACCTGTGTGTGCACTGTGTGTACACCTGTGTACCTGTGTGTGCACCTGTGCGTGTGCACCTGTGTGTGCACACCTGTGTGTGCACCTATGTGTAGCTGTGTATACACCTGTGTGTGCACCTGTGTGTGTATATCTGTGTGTTTGCACCTGTGTGTGCACCTGTGTGTGCATGAACCTCTGGAGCAGGAGATGACACCTTCCTGAGGGCATCGGGGAGGAGGGAGCAGTCGGGGCGCCGCGGGCACAGGGGTTCAGCCTGCCTCTTCCTCACTGGCCAGCCTTTCTTGCCTCTCTTTTTGCCTCCTCCCTGGATTTTGTATTTTAAGAGACCCCCGAATTCGGAAACCTAAACGTGTGTCTTATATTTAAGTAACAACTTCAGTGACGACGTCTAAAACCTCGACATAAAACATCATCCCTTTCCAGTAAGAAAACAGGAAAGCCCCTAACTTCAAAGACAGTCTCTAAGATTAATGAAAGCAAGTGACTTAGTCATGGTCAAACACAAGAGAGAAGAGCTCTGTTGTTGACATTTTCAGCTTCATTTGATTTGACAATTTTCAAGAAAGGCCAGCTAAATTATTTGGCATGAGATGAAAATTGTGAACTTTTTCCTGTGACAGAAATGGTTTGATAATGCCTGAATCAAATTTGTTGTAATGTCTCATGTTTAGACGGTTTAAAAAAAAACGTGAAGCTCATTCACTGGGTCTGTGTTTTTCTGACATAAGTTGAAATGGCACGAACAACACCATTAGACCGTATTTTGAGTTGAGATGAGGCCCAGGGCGCGGAAGCCGTGGCCCGCCCCGCTGCCACCGGGAGTCCAGCGACCGCGACATAGTCGGGAAGGGCCCTGTGGGCCAGCGGCTCAGAGGACAGCGACAGGGGAGGGCTGTGACGTGGGCGGGCTAGGAGGGAAGGTGCGCGGGGGGCGCCCGGGCTCCCTGTCCACGCGGACGGCCCGGCTGTGCCACGCACCCGGGAAGCAGAGGCCCTGGCGGCCCGCGTCCGTCACCAGCGAGTGGGTTCATGCCGCGTGCGCGTTCCTACCTTGGTAAGCGAGTTTAAACCCCTGCCGGTTCTGGGAATGGTCGCTGTAGAAGCGGATGAGCGTCTCGTGTGTCGTGCTGAGCAGGGCGGACGGGGGGTCGGCGCCGCTGAACTGCCCGATGGTCGGGCTCGTGTGGTACGGCCCGTTTTGAATTTCCAGGTAGTCGTGATTCGCTTCCGTAGAAAAATTCAGAAATTGAATGTGTGCACCTAGGGGAAAATATGCACGATGAATGAAAGTGAATGACAAAATGTAGCAGATCGGTGCTTATCGAAAGTGATTAAAATTGGGTTAGTCTCCGCGCACAAGGTTCTCTGGGAGGCCGTGTGGTCGTAGTGGCCGAGAGCACACAATTCCCGTTCCAGCACGTGTTGGTTCCCCGTCACCTGCACCGCCCACTGGTGGTGTGACCTTTGTTGATGTAATCAATGTCCCTAAAATCAAGCTATTTGTGAAATATGATCGCCGCCATTATATCACAGAGCGCTACAGGTGAAGTACACAGAAGAGCGACCAGCGCTCAAGCACGGCAATGGCTGTCCAGCTCTGTACAACTATTCCAGCCAAAAAACACAAGGTTGTAACTACGTCTAATCATCCGTGAGCTACTTTACAACTACCTCAAGAAAGAAACCCAAATGGGTCTAAAGAAATGCAACAACCTTTCAAAGTGGCTTTTAAATGGATGATGATCCCACCGCACAAGGGATTTGTTAGTTTTAGCAAGTGATTGCTTCAACTGTGTCATGAGCACATAAAAAAGCAAGTCATGGGGTTGGTGCAGCGGTTTAGTGCCTGCCTTTGGCCCAGGGCGCGATCCTGGGCATCCAGGATCGAATCCCACGTCGGGCTCCCGGTGCATGGAGCCTGCTTTTCCGTCCGCCTGTGTCTCTGCCTCTCTCTCTCTCTCTCTCTCTCTCTCTCTCTGTGTGTGTGTGTGTGACTATCATAAATAAATAAAAAAAATTTTTTTTTTTAAAAAGCAAGTCATGGACGTGGGCAAGAAAGTCAACCCGGGGACCCACTGCCACTGACACGCTTCCATCCAACAGCCTGGCTCAGGTCACATGCTGAGACCGTCCAGATGACCAATGTCACTGCTGTTATATTCATCGTGGAGGACAATTTAGGGGAATGTAGAGGAATATTTAACAGTCACTTGTTGCAACTTTGTGACATTTTTGAAAATAAATAAATAAAACGATTGGACAGGTGAGTGAGGTAAGGCTCACGGAGGCTAGGGGTCCCGTCCAGTGCAGCCCGGGGCCAGCAGAGCTACACCGACACCCAGTGTGGTGACAAAGTGCTGGGTCTGGCGTTCATTTTTACACAAATTCATGCAATTAATTTAGGTCTGTAAAGCTTAAATTGAGAAATCCAAGAGCCATTACCGATTATTCTCCCAACTCATGAGAAAAGCTGGACTATGTGCTGTTCCTCTGCTCTTGGTTGGTAAGAGGAGCTTTATCTTTACTTTTCATCTAATATAGTCAACACGGGCTTTGTGAGTTTGGAAAACTGAAGACGATGCGTCCCTGGGCTGTCTGACTTAAGTACAAGGGCAGAGAGGAACTAAAGCAAACGTGTCTACTTAGGTATTGACGGGAATCCGGGTATCACAAGCAGAACTCAGTGCAAAAGGAACAAGGACAGTTCATGTAATGTAGGAAAGAGACACGTGGCGCTCAGGACATTTGAAGTCAGCCAAGAAAAACGATTTTATGAATTGTGGAGAAAACTTCACGAGGAGGCGCAGGAGAGTCAGCCACGGTCCTTTGTGTTTGGCCTCAGTGGGAGGCCGACCACCGCACAGGGGCTCCAGGTTACCAGCTGACATTTCCCTCACAGGTATCAGCAAAGTCCTTATGAGCATCATCATAATTTGACAGGTGAGCAAGGTCAGCAATGTTGGGTGTCACGGTCAGGGCAGCGTGGGGCCAGCAGAGCTAGGCTTATACCCAGGGCTGGTGACAAAGAGCTCACTTTCCTGGTTTAACAAGAGCTAACCTGCTCAGGACGCTGGAAATGCTCCAGTTCTTACTGGAGAGGACTGATTGTATTAACACTGTTCAACCTTGACTGTAAGAGGAGGGAAGGGGTGAAGGGAATGTGGGGAGCCTCAGAGGGAGCCTGGCTGGCTCAGCTGCAAGGGCATGAGACTCTTGATCTCAGAGTCATGAGTTCAAGCTCCACCTTGGCTGTAGAGGTTGCTAAAAAATAAATGAATAAAATAAATTAAAAAAAAAAAAGAGAAAAGGAGAAACTCTAGGAAGGGGTGAAGGAAGCAAATGGCAGGAGAAAAACCTGGTCTGAGGGAAACATCTTTAACCACTCAACCAGAACTTAGAATCATCTTACAATGAGTAACTAAATTCATGTGACCTAGTCGGAATCTATAGATAAGCAGCTCATGAGCCATTGGGAAGGGGGGGCCCCGTCGGCCTTGGTCTCGGCCACCCCAATGTCACGTGCAATACAGGAGCGGGGAGCAATGCCATCGACTTAAAACATTCCTGTAAATATTTAAAAATGTCAAATAATTCTCTTCGTTGAAGAACCATCAGTGAAATTTTTTCCCCTAAATTTCAGCAAATATGTTGGTCAAAAGAAATTTGGAAGAAGAAAAAAAAGAAAGAGGGATTGAGAGAGGATGAGACAGAGAGAGAAGGAGAGAGGGAAGGAGAGACGCAAGGAGAGACAGACGGAGGAGGAGGGAGGAAGGGCTCATGGCCCTGTCTGTCCCCCAGTTCTGACCGCCCCTCCACGGCCACGGGAGCTGAGGTACCGGCCCATGTAGTAGGCCACACGTCAGTACTGGCTGTGCCCCCGCACCCCCATTGTTGAATCAAAACCCAGATTTGTAGGACAGCCGCCAGATCTGATAAGAGTTCTGTTACTAATAAGGAAACTGTAGTAGGCAACTCTTGTTTTGAGTATGTGACTAGGTTGGGGCTGCTGAGCCCCGTGGTCTACAGAGATCCGGGGACACCCGTCACACGTGTCCCCACGAGGCAGGGTGCAGAGGCTGCCACAAGAACAACCACCAGCAGCCGCCAAGTTCCTGCCGTTTCCCTCCGTGCCCCGAAAGTGCCCCATGCATGCGGGGACCTAGGGCGAGATCAGACGCTTGCGAGACTCGTTCACGTGGTGGGTATCAAATCGAGTAGCAAGGAAATGGTTTACGAGAGGCTCGTTTCAGATGTGCACGCGCAGACCTCAGTGGATTTACCCAGACGTACAGTTTGAAATTCATGGAATGACGCAGTCAAGAAAGAACTGGAGGTCAGCAAGCCGATCAAGGGGGCAAAGCGTTAAAGACGGCCAGTATCTCAGAGGGAAGGAAACAGCAAACGTGGCCTTTATCTGATTTGGAATTAAACTTGAGATGGAAACAGAATTAGGGCAATTATGAATTTAGGGGGAAAATTAGCATTTTAAGCAGGATAAAGTACGCAGCCACATATCAAACCGCCTCATACACATCGGGAAATGGAACTGAACACAGCCCAGTGCTAATCTGGTTTAAAATGGGATTATTCGGCTCTCTGAATTTCAGCGACTTGTGTCCAGTTTGACACCACGAAGCTAAAATGAAGGGATTGATGTAAGCGTAACTTAGCTAACCTTTTATTATCTCACAAAACGCCGAAGAAAAAAAATGTGTTATTACAACAAGAAAATCAATCTGAACGTCCATTTGGTGGAATTTACACAGCACATGATCTTCGTGCCCCTCTGATTATTGTTCACACCGAAAATTAAGTGTCAGTAAACGTCATCTGCACAAAGACATTTTGACTTTGGATTTGACAAAACTTTAAATAGTAATGTGACCATGACTCCTGAGTTAAACCCCCATTTTTTAGCTGATAGACCTTGTGAATATGAAGCGCTCTATTTAGCATCCCCTGTGCATAATGAACCCATGGCAAAGGAGATCAGAGTTTCAGAGCCATGTGAATGTTCCGAAGCACTCGTTATAGCTTCCCTACACCGGCCCTAGATGGTCAAGGACATGGTCCTTTTGAACAGTGCGGCAGGCAAAGTCAGTGCAGTGGATTTTAAGTATGAAACGCAACGATAAAGCAAAAACAAACAAAAAGCATGGTGGCATTTCTGCTGATGGCTGTGACTTTGGAAAAATCCAGAAAACAGAGACAGGCATTGTGTGTCGATTACGCTTGTGCCAAAGCCACACAAGACAGCAACAAAAAAGATCTGTGGAAATCATCAGAGACTTTGGTGTAACAACGAAAAGGAGCTCACAGTCAAATAACACCTGCTCTGTATCAGGCATTCGCATTATTTCAGAACAGCCCTGTGAGCATCATATTTTATGATATTTATTTATTTATTTATTTATTTATTTATTTATTCATTTATTCTATCATTTTTTTAAAAGGATTTTATTTATTTATTAGAGAAAGAGCACATGCATGAGAGAGAGCAAGAGAGAGAGAGACAGTAGGAGCAGGGACAGAGGGAGAGGGAGAGGGAGAGGGAGAGGGAGAGTCAGGCTCCCCACTGAGCAGGGATCTCCATGTAGGGCTGGACCCTGGGACCCTGAGACCACGTCCTGAGCTGAAGTCAGATGCTTAACTGACTGAGCCCCCCAGGTGCCCCGGTGATATTTAATTTAAAGATAAGGAAATGAAGGTCAAAAACAGGTGGTAAGTTGTGCAAAGTCATAGCACCAGTGACCGATCGTGCTAAGCTTTCTACCCAGACAGGAGCACCCAGGACACCTGCTACCTGCCCCTCAGCTCAGAGTCGCTCCACCACTTGGAGAGCCACATTCTCTCCCTGGGATGGGATGTAGGAAATAGCTGTCACCGGAACGAGTAGTTAGGAAGGCGAGACAACGGTGGTTGGCACGTAGCGCCAAAGCAACTAATCATCTTGCCTGTTTAATTAAACTCTCGACTGACCCATGGGCCCGGGAGGGAATGGGATAATCACAAGAATTATCTGACTGAGCTGGTAGCTGCTTAAGTAATGGATCTGACACTCTATCGGTCCCATGCAACCCTGCTGTACGGGCAGATTCAAAACCCCCGACAAAACCTCCCATGAATGAAAACCATCAAGAAGGGCAATGGTATCATGTTCTGCAGAAACGTATTATACAGGCAGCTGGTGGGCCTGGAATCATCGGTGTTTACCAGAACGATAGTCCTCACTGCCCCAAGCAGCCAGAAACCACGACTGAAAATTAGGAACACGGGGATGCAGGTGCAGATACTTGGGGTAGCATTTGAAGAAATGAGAAAATCAACCTTAAAAATATTGAAATGCAATTTATTTTATTTATTATTTATTATTATTATTATTATTATTATTTTTGAAATGGAATTTATTTTTAAGAAAACTCTGGATCCCCCTTCCACGTCTGGCCAGCAGTGTGGAGACACAGCACGGAGGGACCAGCCACCGGGATTTCATCATAACGACTTGACTCCTGCCAGGGATTCCTGCACATGGTGAAATCTGAGACCTGCTGGTCTAAGCAGTCACTTTCCTCGGTATTTGGTGCTTCAAGTTTAGCTACGTGTTTGCAGTAAGCTGCCCTCTGTGTTTTATGTGAGTGAGTTTCCCACGTGCCCATTTCCTGATGAACTTCCCTCATTGATGCTGCCACATACTTTGCTTGAAATGGTTTCCCAAACCTCAGACAGAGAAAGAGGCATTAGGAGAATCCCCCACACACACACACACACGCGCGCGCGCGCAGGAGATCTAGGGCAGGCGTGGGCAGTGAGCTGCGATAGCGACGCGCTGATGTGCATGTTCACTTGGAAGAGCCAGTTAACTCTACCTCATACGTTAAATACCCATCACGTTACACCTTGAAGGAGCAAATATCTCTCCTACCAAGATCATCCTAACGACGGAGATTTCCCAGGTCAATTGCTGTGACATCCATAGAAACGTATCTTCCCAACCTCCCTGTTCCACTGAGAACACAGAAGCCCTGTCCTGGGTGGTAATTGCAAGGAAAGTTCCAGAATCATCCTAAGGTTTGGTGCTAATAGGACACAATATGGGAGATCAAAGAGGGGAGAAATTATCATGAAGGGCAATGATGGTCATCGTTGCTATACTTTTTTTTTTTTAAGATTTTATGTATTTATTCATGAGAGATGCAGAGAGAGGCAGAGACCCAGGCAGAGGGAGAAGCAGGCTCCCTGAGGGGAGCCTGATGTGGGACTTGATCCCGAGACTTCGGGGTCATGGCCTGAGCTGAAGGCAGATGCCCAACCACTAGCCACCCGGGTGCCCCCCCCCCCTTTTTTCTTAATAAGAAACCTTTGGTATGTTTAACTTAAACTTACAGATTCCTGGGTTTCAAACCCAAACTTACTTTCTCAAAATTCCAGGGGAGTTATCTGATGTTTACCTCTGACTTGGGAGGCCCGGGGAGGAATCTGCTGCTAAGGTCGAGGGGGAGGGAAGTCCCAGGGAAACGGGAGTGCTGGAGATATGGAGAGATATGGAGAGGAACCAACTAGGAGAATCCACTATGGAAGACACCAAGCAAAGGAGAGGAAGAAAGTGATAAATCTGCATTTGAACGGAGTCTGTGACCCCTTTGGATGCCCCAGATGAAAATACGTCACATGAAGCTGAAAATGTAGAGCTCAAACGTGTGCCTTTGAGAGAGGAGATGGTGTTTTTAGCCACTTCATTACGATGGAGAAGAGTCAGAGATTAAAGAAGACCAGGAATAGGCAAATTAATTAATTAATTAATTAATTAATTTACTAAAGAGTTTCAAGAATCTCCTGTGGGGATGAAAGCGAGGCTGTAGAGTTTTCTCGACATCAGCAAAATGCCCTGTAAATTTTTAAACCTCAGAAACTTTTGTAGCAAGGACAGAAAATCCTAAATATTCACCATGTCGAAGGACCTACCACCACTTACATGCCTTCTCCCTAAATTTGTGACTTCATGTTTAGAAGGATATTTAGAGATTGTAAACTTTATCACAAGCAGACCTGGTGCATTACATTTAATCTTTAATATCACAGTCGATTCTTGAACAACCCAGGCTTGAACTGTATGGGTCCGTCTATATGCAGATTTTTACAGTACAGAACCATACGTGTATCTTCTCTTTCTTAATATTTTCTTAATGATTTTTCTTTTTCTCTAGCTCACTTTATTGTAGGAATACAGTACATGATACGAATATAACATACAACTTATGTGTTCATAGGCTTCTGGTCTACAGTAGGCTACTAGGAATTAAGTTTTTGTGGAATCAAAAGTCATACTTGGATCTTTGACTATGCAGAGGTCAGCACCCCAAGCCCCAGGTTGTTCATGGCTCAAGTGTATTCTGAAGCATAACTACATCTATTCTAAAGAGCCAGGGACGGTGATACTATTTTGTATGTATTTAGGATTCATGACCTAAAATTTACTACTTTCGCCTTTTCTTCAGGATGTTTCCAAAACCCAATACTATGCAATATCAAACATTTAAAGACTTAAATTATTTTAATTATAACATTTCATAAATCTTTTTTCTCATTCTGATATTTCTTTAAATAGATATTTTGTTTGAGTTCATAGATCATGACCATAAGACAACATGACTCATTTTTCCCCCTAAATTATTATCTTTCATATTGGCTTATGCATGAGCAACATAAGGAAAAATGCCAGACTATAACCTTTTCAATCACAGAATGGTCAAGTTGGAAAAACAAGTTAATAAAATATTTATATCCATTCATGAATAATGTATTTCTCATGAGATCTGAAAGGAAAGTGGGAAATATTTGGAATAATAATAATAAAAAATCCACCTGACTTCTTTGTTTTCTGTTGTTTCTGTTTACACGGCCAAGACCTGGGCTGCACACCTGAATTGTTTTAGTTAGCCCTCACGATAACCCTATGGGGCTCTTTTGGTTTTTAAGATGAGAAACGCACATTTCCCATTTTGTAGACCATGCCCCACCAGAGTCAGCACTGCTGTGGGCCTGCAGTTCTCTGACTCTCTGCTTTTAACTACTGTGGTCATTTGTCTAATAAGCCTCTGACCCTCAGGGGCCTTAAGGCTGTGTTGGAATAGGGTGGGTCGCAGGTATGGCCCATCCCCATCCAACCCCACCGCTGACTCAACCATTGTATCAACCACATCCACATCTTTAGATCCCCAGGGAATGGAAACAGACCCCGCTTTTGAGAATAGCTGAGTTAATGCTGGTTCAACACAGCGCAGAACTACTTCCCCAATGCTCAGAGAGTTGATGATCAAAAAACAAAACTACACTAAAAAACTGGAAGAGATAGAGAGCCTCTGTAATCCTTTAGTGGTCTCTCCCCTTCCTAATTCCACTCACCCCCTGGCTGGCCCCTTAAAAACCCCAATGGACATGAACTCCCATGAGGTCTCCCCAGCGGGGGTGCCCTTCCACACTCCCCTGTTCCCTGGTGTCACACTCCATGTCTGTCCACAGTGTGTCCACAATCGCACACCTGACTGGAACCTGCCAGGCCCTCCTGCCTACGATTCCTCTTGGCTGCTTTCTGCCAAGCAAGTGAACCCTTCCTCTCCAATTCTGCACTCCTGCTGCTGCCATTCTGGGCATAGGTTCTTAAGGCAAAGTTTAGAAAACCTAATAAAAAATATGATCTTCTAGGGCACTGATTTCCACTTAGGCTTAAGTTCATCATTGAACTAACTTTTCACTTAGTGTGTAAGTTCTCAATCACTATTTCCTAGGACACTCAGTGCGGGCCTACCTTGGTGCACCTTCCCAGGTGTTTTGGAGAAAATCACAAATGGAGAAAACCCAAATTAATGAGATCGGATATGTAGGACATCATGATGCAGACAAGGAAAGTACTGGTAGGGAATAAAAATTTCACGAAGACTATGAATTTCTGGAAAAGGCCATAATGAGATTTCAGTGTCCACAACAATTAAAATTATTAATTATTTAAGGTGGATAACCAGAAAGTTTGAAACTAAGTATTATAAAAAGCCATTTCCATGAACCTACATCAGTGCAATATGTAATTACAAAAAACTTATAGAACAATCCTAAAACGTGCCATAACCTGAAAAAGCCTTAGAAATCGTTCCCAAGAAACAACAACCATCAGTGAATTCCAGAAATAGATCATAAAAGGTGGTATTATAAATAAAGACATGGATAATTGAATTAGCGATGCTACATTTTATACTTCGTGTGCTCACTCTATCATCATCCATCTAATTTAATTTGCCTTGAAAAGAGCTGCATGGCCGAATTGATTTTTTAATAACTTTCTGTTCTTGAAGTCATTCTGCCAAAGCTTTATTTAAATTTCTAAGCCACTTTCAATTAAAGACAGTTACGTCAACAGAATAAGGTGCATTTTTTATTCTGCTGAATTCTTTCCAATATACAAATTAAAAAGTTGAATTTTTAGGAATGAAAATGCTTTCACTCACCGTAGCCAATGGGCAGCTCGATCTTCCAGGTGCAGTCCAGGTTGTTGGGGTAAGCGCCCGGAAACCCTGGGCTCAAGATCACACCCCCCATGCTGCTCAGCGTCCCTCCGCAGGTTGCTGTGAAGTGGACAAGGGTGCTTAGTGCTGGGGTCATTGCTTTCCACCGAGGGGATTTAATCCCAGCTGCCCTATTTGTGCTACATGAAAGCAAGTCTGCAGAAGTGGGTTTACCCTTAATTACAGCACACACACAATACAACGACTCGTTATGCACGGGTCCGGTTCTCCGTCTCCACCTCAGCCACTGAAGAACAAAGACTGGTTTTCAAAGACTATCTGCTTCTGGGACATGGTCCACGGAGACCCAGGAAAGGTCAGTCAGTTTAATGCATATCAGTCAACATCCCCATGACTTTCAGGGTATGGGCTGCTATGCATCGAGTGATAGTATCAGCTACTATTTATTCACTCGTAACTACGTGCCACCTACCAGGCGGAGTAAACACAGTGCATGACTTCATTCTCATAAGGCCCTAAGAAAGGTGGTATTATTATTATTACCCATTTTACAGATTAGGAAGCCAAGCCTGATTGGTTCCAAGACCAATGTTTTAACAAGGAGGCATTACCTTTGGAATTCTGTTCTGTTTTGGAGTGCAGCTCACCAAAACCACGCTCTCCCCGGCCAACCTCACACTCACTCTAGTGACGGGACGAGAACTAAGCTTCCGTGTCTGGCCTGATCTGGGTTACTCACGTTTTATGCTACTGTAGCTGTGGTTTGACTATAACAAAACAGCTGGTTTTATAACACACTTGTCAAATAATATGCGTTAAAGCAGATGAAATTCTAACCCTTGACCACTTGTGACCTATTAAAATGTCAGTTTTCTTATATTTCAATGTAATAATGCAAACGCTTTAACTTCTTCACAGGGAGTCACATTAAAAGGCTTTATTGCTATCCTAACAATGTTCTCATTACCCAAACTGGGTTTTGGAGGAAACCTCTTTCAGAGATCTCTGAATCTCCACTTAGGACCTGTAGCGGAGTCTTTTTCTTCTTTTTAATCACCAGTACAGAAAGACTTTATCTGATATATATTTGATATGGGGAGAAGCCTAAATTAGTCTTAAAAAAATCAGGTCTGGTGAATATGGTAATTGCCCAAGCTAGGGAATCCTAGTCTGAGTTTCAACACTGTATAAGTTATTAAAGATGTAGTTTCAAAAAAAATTTTAAATGTAATTTTGTGGGATGAGGGAATAATGCCAGTAAAGCCCTGACTGTCAGCTTTGTTGTTAGAGTATGAGCTCTCCAGGGGCCTGCTTTGTGGGTATATCAGGTAAGTGGAAATATGGGCTCTGGGATGCACTTCACCCACGGGTGTGTCCATGCTGGTGAAGGCAGGCTGGGGGATCTGGGGGGCATCCCTGAATATAGTCAGCGGTAATATTCCTCCCCTCATGGCTCTCATCCCGCGGTGGAAGTAAATATGTACGTCCAACCACAGGGGAGAGAGACGTGAAAATGCCAAATCAGTGGCAACAACAGGAAGACAGATGTGAAGCAAAGTTGACATTTTTAAAGGGGCCCTTCCTTTTGAGTTTGAGCATGACTTTTATGAAAAAGAAGAGGAAAAGATTGGGAATCATGAAATATAAGCATCCATGCACATCTGCAACTGAGGACCGGGACAGTCTCACAGGAGCTGACCCGGTGGCTGGGTGATGGAAGTCAGCACCGATGGTGACATCTTGGTTCACACGGGTCAGCTATGGGTGTTGTGAAAGGGCCTAGACATTGGGCAGACCTCCTCTTACAATCATGACCCAGATCCCCAAGGACTTAGTTATCTCAAAAGATTGTAATCCCACTTTAGTTTCTCTAAAACACACAAAAGTCATCCAGCGGACATACCAGCAGGGCTCCCGAAGGACGTGCATTGATCTATTGTTTCCTCCTTTGTGATATTTAAAAAAAAAAACTCCACCAATGGACTTGTCTTACTTTATATTTGTTCAATCCTACAATCAAGTCTGGGCCTTCTTCCCAGGGCTTACCTGTCCATCAGCATTTGGTAAACTGACCTCCTACCTCCTGCTGGAGAAACGCTCTCCACCCCAAATCCCTTCTTATAGTGAAGTAGCCTATGTAGAGAATTCATGGCAAACATGGTGTCTCCAAAGGACGAGGTGTTTAACACCATAAAATAGCTGGGCATCTTACGTCTTACTGGATTTATTTATCTTCTTTTGTGCAGATTCCTGATGTTTTTGGTGACAAAAGGTGGAACTTTGAGTCCAGGGCACAGGCCATGCCCTGCTGGAGAGCCCCCCATGGTGGAGGGAATTCCAGCTGGGCGGAAGGGTCCTGGCAAACACCCCAGCCGCTTGGGGGCTTGCGGTGATGTTTGAAATGGTTAATAGCACTGGTTACGCTCTGAAAATGGCACTTGACACTCTGTAACCCATAGAGAAGTGTTTTGATATAAACTGTCTTCATGAGGGCTTGAGATCTCTAATAAATAGAGATTATCTCTATGGATTTCTAGTCGTAAAATCCCCTAGCTTGCGCTCCCTGGATGCTAACAGCTAAAAAAAAAAAAAAAAAAAAAAAGCAACAACAACAACAAAAAAAAACAAAAACAAAAAAACAAGACCCCTTTCGATCTCTCAGAACAGACTTTGAGATTTGTCGTGGGTTGTTTGTGAGTTTTCCAGTGAGAAACCTTCCTCTACTGCTCGCGAAAAGTTAGGAGTGAGCAGGTTAGCTACGGGAGTTGATGAATCTTCGACGTTTGCTAATATATGAGACAGGCTAAATAAAAGATAAAAATCAATTATACTTGGCTAACGTGGGTTAACTATTTGAATAAAACATGTCCTCACACAAAACAGAGTGCCGGCAATGACACACTTTTTGATTGAATACCCGTTGTTGGCTGATTTCAGTTCAAAGTTAAAAATATTTCAATTCTCAAGTTTACGGGAAGGTTCTTCGTTGAAAAATAAACAGGAAGATGGATGTCCTATAAGGAAAGGGCAGATGTTCCATAAGGAGAGGCACCCCAGTCACTGTCGTGATGAGCCATGCGGTCTGCCAGCCCCGGACGCTCTTCTGGAATCAGCTCCCGAGGGTCGACTACATGCTCACAGGGCACTGCTGCGAGACTTGTCACTGCAGCCCTCGGGCCCTGGCAGGGGAGGGAGGCCCATCGGGACCCACCGTGCTGCAGCTCCGAGGGCCTTACACTGCTGCACTGGGGCCGGGCCATGGGCAGGGCCGGGGCATCCAGCCAGCGAGGCGTCCCCCTCAGGGGCGGACATCAAGGAGGTCCCCGGGCCCGGAAACAAGATATCGTGGACATATTTGCAGCAGGTGCAGCACTGCACGTCCGCTTGCCTTGGGCCTGAGGGGGACTGCCCAGGGCACGGGGAGGGCAAGTGCCTGGAGGCGTGCACGTGGGGCGGTAGGCGTCGTGGGAAGTGCGGGCAGGGGGCAGGGGACTGGTGCCGGGCTGCATCCCCAGCCGCCCATGAAGCTGGGCCGTGCTGTTCCGGGCCGGGGCACGGCTATGCAGCAGGCCGAGGGCTGCGAGGCCCTGAGCAGGGAGCAAGCTAGTCCCCTGATGAAGCAGGAGCACAGGTCAGGACCCGGTGGCCAGGGATAGCCATAGCCTAGATGGGGCCTGCAAGGCACCAGACGGCGGGGAGACCCTAATGCTGAGGACTGCTGGTGGGAATCACGACTGGGGAGCCCTGAAGCGGTGGGCCCCCAGGGGAACCATATGGAAGCTGAGGTCATATCCAGACCACACAAAACAGGTGATGATCATGGGGGTCACCTAGGAGGGGGGTTCTGGAGGGGGAACGGGTTTGGGGAAGGCAGGAGGTATGCAGATGGGGAGGATATACTGAGTCGCAAAGGTGAGGGTAGCACCCAACAGTCCTGTAGTCACCTGAGCTGTAAGCAGACTCTGCATCAGACATACAGCTGTGGGTATGGGGCCTGCTGTGCCCAGGGTGGCCCTGGGACCCCCACCGCAGCCTCCACACAAGAGGTTAAGTGGGCCCAGGACCCAGGCTCTTCTTGCAATGCTGTGTTGGGAGCGCCTTTCCCTCAAAAGGCAGGCTGAGCCCGTCCTAATGGGCACATCCACGTGGGCCGTCTCTCTGCTTCTCCTATAAAACACTATCCCTCCAATCCATCCATTCATTGGTATTTCTGAATTTCGTTTCTGGACACTCAGTTTTCCAGAGGCCTAAAGGCCTACACGGAACACGGCTCAGACTTCCAGACCCACGGTGTTCGTTCCTTCTCGTAACTAATCCACTGGCCCTTCTGGTATGGATGTAATTTGCCTTGGTTCAGTGCCTTGATCTAGCAATGTGACATCTAATCCACAGGGGCAGTCCACAGATGACAAAAAAGCTGAGCTAGTACATCCGTGGGACAAGATGCAAGCTCAGTATTTGCCACACCTCCTGCATGATGATGTGATTGGTAAGGTACCGAGGGTACTGAGGGTACTGAGTGTACTGATGAGGGTACTGAGGATACTGAGGGTACTGATGAGGGTACTGATGAGGGTACTGATGAGGGTACTGAGGTTACTGAGGGTACTGAGGGTACTGATGAGGGTACTGAGGGTACTGAGGGTACTGAGGGTACTGATGGTACTGAGGGCTCACGCACAGCAACGTGCCGTCGGGAGGGTCAGGAGGGGCAGGAGGGGCATCCTTACCAATGCAGAGGGGGGATGGGTAGTTCCAGCGACGGACGGTGCCCGGCATACACGAGATGTGGGAACGACCCTGTGTGAGAGAAAAGGAGGTAAGGCTCACAGGACCAAAGGAAGAGCGTGCAAAGTTCCGCTGCGAGGACGTCCGTACTTTCTGTGGTTCCCTTTATAAACGACACACCAGGCATCGTGCAATGTACTGCACTAATGTTTGTCCATGAATCACATACTTGGAATCAAGGTAGAAAAAAAAAAAAAAACAAAATCCATGACCATTTTAATTCTTCTCGCTAAAACCCAAATTTTGCAGGGTCCGTCTCGGTGACTATTTGGGACATGCCCCTTTCCCTGCTCAACGGGATGGCTTGGGCGAAACACATCTTTTTTCTATTTTTTAATCATCAGAAGTTACGACTTTCGGTCTGAGAGGCTGTGAACACTAGGTACTGGTCCAGAGGGGGGAAGGTCAGAGATATGTAATCTGCTCACGAAAGGCATCTTTGCTGTCCCCTCGTGCTTCCCGTTCACCCACGACTCACACACACCTATGGTCCCACAGAGAACTGGGTCGGTTCCTCCATCCGAGAAGAAGGAGGCCTGATAGTCGTGTTACTATCACACAGTCTCACAAACTGCCAAATGATTGTGGCGGCAATAAAATTAATCCGCATCGCCCACGGTCTCTTTATCCTTTAATTATATGAAGTTTTCAACTTTCAATCTTAAAAAAAAAATAAAATAAAACAAACCCGTCTTATTATATCCGTTTAATCACACAGAAGCAGGTTAAATCCTGAACATTTTGTGCCGAAATCCCTCTCACGCTAGAAGCGAAGCCAGTAAAGAGCACCTCTGTGCAGACCATCGGTTTTTATTTTTTTTTTCTTCCTTGGGCCTCAGTCGTCCTCTCCGCCCTGAGCGCTGATCCTGTGAGTTTCCACCTGCCGCCCGCAACCGGCACAGAGGCAATTGAAAACAAATCTTTAATTCATGCTAAATACTCGTGGGCACGCTGGGGACGCATCAGACAAGAAGGTGCACTAATGCAGTTATCAACGACAGACTGATTCCCCAGGCTCGGGAACATTTCATCCTCGATTCATCTGCCACAAAACTCATTTTCTCATACTTTCTGATATGTTAAAAAGTCATTACAGCAAAAGGAGGCTATATTTATTCTTAGAGAAGACATTCCGTGCTGTACGGCTCCTGCTAAAGTTCACGCTGGGTGTGCGCTCATTTTGTGGTCCGTTAAATTATCTTTAATGGATTTCTTCCTGAATTATGGAAAACATAAAGTGCAAAGGCCTCCAAAGGCGGTTATAGATGCCTGCCCAGAGGAGGGCCATTGGTTACCAGCCCTGGTCAGACTCTCTCTTGGATTTTGGCACAAACGTTTTATATTAGTGATTCCGGCTGAAATGTATACAATGGATCCAACAGGACAGGACTCTATGTAGTTACTAGTTTAACATAAGGATTTTCATCGTTTTGTCTTGTAAAGAAGCACTGAAACCAGCCTGGGGAAGAGGGGAATCCAGGGTTCCGTCTGAGTGTCGGGGCCAGCACCCTCGTCCCCGGTCCAGGAGGCTCCCCAGGCGGGCACATCCAGGCACAGTAGTGTGCGAAGTGTGCAAGGCATGCGGGTCGCCACAGGCGCTGTGCCTCCAGGTACATTAATGTGTTGGCAACTGTGCTGATGACACTTAGCAACTTAAAAAAAACAAAAAACAAAAACAAAACCCGGGCCCCTGTTTGGCTCCCGTGAAGGCAAAGCCAGCAGCTCGTGGAGTCAGCGCTGCCCCCCCGCCCCCCCCCCCCCCCCCCGCAGAAGGACGGAGGAAGAGCCTGGTTTGCATTTGTAACCGGAGCTAATGAGCGGGGCCAGGGCTCCGCAGGTGCAGGTGCAGGTGCAGGTGCCGCAGGTGCGTCCGGGCCTCGTCCACCAGCCCTGATTCAACAGCCCTTTGTAAGCCAGGACCCTACGGGACCCTCCTTTCTGTCTCCTTCTCTAAGGGCTGCAAAGGAGTCATTTGTAAAAGGTCCTCAGGGTAGCTGCTCAGCGACACCATGGGGGGTAGGAGGCGGTGAACACCCGGCAGCGAAGCAAGGATCGACGTGTGGGAGTGTGTTTTTGAGTATAAAGCAAGTAAAAAAAAAAAAAAAAAAAAAAAGGGAGGGGAGGACATACTAATGGCACATCCAAGTAGACTGGTGCGGGGGCGGGGGTCCCTACAAACGAAGCCCTTGGGCCGGGCCTTGGAATTCTCCAGACCGGAAAACAGCTGGGATTTGCCTTAAACGGTCAGCTCAGGAGGCTTCGGGCGCTTGCCCACTGACGTGCTCTGGGCCCGAAGGTGCGGGAAAGGCTCTGTCGGCCGGGGGAGGGGGGGCAGCGGGCGGCAAGCGTGGCTCTGGGGCCCACACCACCCATGCCTGTGCCCCGGGCTCCAGCAAGGATGGTGCCCCGGTGCCGGGAAGGACCTCCCCGCGGTCCCCACGCGCCGCCGTGTCCTCTGCGACTCTTGCCTGCTGCTTTCTTTCCCAAACTCGTTTGTTAAAACTTTGCTGCAGAACTGTTGGAGGACAGAACTAAGACCTTTGTCCTTAAAATACGATCCGCTTCAACGTGGTAATGAGCGTTCACCCAAAAAGGTACTCTATTACCCGAAATAAACGAAGACGAGGCACATAATTAGGTGTGACTATTCCTACTGGACGTTGTAACCTGCGCGCTGAGATTACCGACATCGTTGCTGGCAGCGGCAATCAGAGCCATCACGCCACGCGACCCCCAGACGCTGTTTCGCAAGAACGCTTATTTATGATCAGCCCGGAAAACACAGTAACGGAAAAAATGATGAATGTTGGTACACATTGGGCTATAAAAGTCTGAAAAAACTTTTATACAAACTTATCAAAAACTATGGAGACTCCTCAATAGTCCCCGGAGTGACCTGGGCACCGCAGCACCTGCTAGAGAAGGTAGCAGACAGCGACGGCCCCACCGCCGTGGGCCCTGCGGGACACACTCGGGGCTCAGGGCGGACCTCGCGCTGGAGGCCACAGGAGCGCCATAAACGCGACTCGTGTCAACACTCTGTGCCTTAGAATTTCATCTGCATGCTCATGGGGGGAACATACGTTTGGAAATAAAATAATTACAAAAACAGGGTGCTGAACTGCGGAAGAGAGCTTTGTCATCAGGAGCTATTTCCACGCTATAATGAACATCAGGAGCACGCGTGGCTCCGTGTGACGACTTCGATTTGCAAACAGCAGGAGAGCAGCTAAAGCGGCTCTCTGGGTGCAGCTCTCTGGCACTGGCGTCCCCGAGCCACCCAAGGAATCCCGTGCCAACCCTCTGTATTCCCGACACGCAGAAGGAAGGTACCTGCAAGGTGTACCCCGGTTCACACTGAAAGGAGAGCACATCGTTCACCATGTACCGGTCTCCGATTTTGATGCCATTGCTGGGAAGGGCTGGTTCTTGGCACGCAGCGAGGCCCACGGCTGCAGAAAGGCAGAGACACGGGCTTAGGAAGCACGTAACATAAACAATATTCCTGGTTTTTTGAATAATAAAACAGTTCTTTCCCCTGTTACTCTCCTCCTGACGAAGTGAACAACGACCTTGATTATTTCTCTCGTTGTCCTACCAACGAGACATCAGGGGACTTTAGGTCAGTTATTAGCTACCTCCTGACCATGACTACATTCCACATCCAGCACGAGTCAATCAAGGTTCTCCTTAAACAATACAATGGCCACTTCCACGTTCCCCGTTACACACTCCAATGCCAACACATGCACACTTCAGAAGGGCCTTTAAGGTCACGTTTCTTTTGACATGCAAGACCCATGACAATGCTCTCCTGCTGTTCTTCAAGCAGAGTTGGCCATCTTTTTTTTTTTTTTAAGCTTGTATTTATTTATTCTTGATGGACATAGAGAGACAGAGAGAGGCAGAGACACAGGTACGGGGAGAAGCAGGCTCCCTGTGGGGAGCCTGATGTGGGATTCGATCCCGGGATCCCGGGATCATACCCTGGGCCAAAGGCAGCTGCTAAACTGCTGAGCCACCCAGGGATCCCCTAGAGTTGGCCCTCTTTATGAAAAATTTTAAGTGTGAATCTGGCAACTCTACCCTTCCAGAAAAACATAACACAAGAACAAATACTTTATATATATATAAAATATATAAAAATATATAGTATAAATATATGTATATTATATATATATATATATAGATATATATGTTTTCTCTCTCTCTCATTTAAAGACAACAAAATTCTCAGTGTTCTCAGTAAACAGGCCAATATTTACAGATCCTAAGGCTATAATTAGGCACTTTTCTTGATGGGATTGCCTTCAGCTAGGGCACTAACAATTTTTTTAATGTATCACATTATACTGGCACTCAGCCTAAAATATAGAGAAATTAATGAGTTAGCAGAGATACCTCTCCGTATAAACCCCATAGCACAGACAAACAAAATAGGCAGCTATGGTGTTTTATAGAATAAAAAAAAATGCATTTGAAATGATGCTAAAGACGTGGGGATTGCAAATAATCCTTTTCATCAGTGTGCTACGTCCGATCTCATTCCAGGTTACCCGGGACTGATGGGTTTTGCAGGGTAATGGATCGGGAAGGACATTTGAGCAGCCCAGCTTAAAATTCTCCATGTGACCTTGGATGTACACTTGAGTTCTGGGTCATGACACTAACAGGAATGAACTGGTCAGATTAGTGAACTGATCGGGGCTGGGGATTCCAGGTTATATGGCTGAGATGGGGAAGCGGGGGTCGCCTTAATCAATGCAGAGGCAAAACCTGGTAGGAAATGGAAGAACAGGTCTAGGCAGGGCCCCCAGCTGCGCAACTGTGGGTCCCAGGGCAGAATGAGGGTGTGTGTGGCTTGCCCTGCACGCAAGGCCGTGTCCACACCTGTGGGCTGGCACATCTCAGTTCCTGTGCACACCCCGCTGTCTCATCAAACTCCACTTAAAAAACACGCAAAGGTAAGATTACTAAGGGTTCCCAGAGGGGCTCCAGCAAGTGCAGTGCTTCTGAGAGCAGGAGTCAGTGTGAGGCCACATGGTTCCTGCTCATGCATCAGGTCTGGATCCAGATTAGAGATCCTGCACGGGCAGCTCATGGGGAAACTGCTTGTGCTGAGGATGGCCTATTGTCATCCTGGATGCTCTATGTTGCTCTGATCCTGACCCCTTGTGTCTGAGATTAAGGAAAGGGCAGAGCGAAGTCAGATTAACAGGTCGAGTTCCCAGGTACAGGTATGTATGTAAACCCATCTCTCAGGGGCCCAGCACTAAATTTCTAGACAGTTGGGCTTTATATTTATAGATGATAACGTTACTAAATACACAAAAATACAATCACTTAGGGCTTTACCTTGTTTTGTTAGTATAAGTCTAATTTATGTTTTTCTTAACCCTAGAATATATATTTTATTTAAAATTCACCCTTTCTCTTATCACAGCTTAACAAGATCACCTACCACCTAGCACTAATTTTTTATTTGCTCCTGGGAGGAGGCGGTTGGGACTTAAAATACCTTTGGTATAAATTTAATTACAATTTGAAATACTAAAACGCCGATTTATACTGATGCCACATCATCATTTTGGTATACTTCAAGAGCATTCAGAGACCAGAGACTATTGATAACCCAAAAATGTTCAACATAAGCTGATAACATATTTTGAAATTTAAAAAAATGCAATAAGTAATTCAAAATTAAATTCTAGTTATGCAACACCCATCCCTTTACATATATGATATAATAGGCTTTTACCTAGTGTATTTGTTTAATACATGGTGATTTGTATGCATTTATTATATGTTAATTCATTTTCGTTTCTCCTTTCTTAAATTCTACGTGTAAATCTCATTCATCCTCTGGAAAAAATAATAACTTGCAGTTATCTGTACCTATAGGAATTACAATATATTTTCTTAATAAACTAAAAACATACAAAAGTCCTTTTAATCAGGATTTGATGTGATGAGACTCAGGAAGCAGTTTATGCAGACCCAGATATTTGAACTGTAGACAGGACACATCTTCCTCACTCTCAGTGTCCCTAGATCTCCAGTAGACGGTAGATGTTAACAGCACTAGGATATCCGGTATCTCTAGGGACGCTTCCTAGTAATAGCATCTACGTATATTTATGTATAGACAAGTAAAGAAGTGATTGATACGAGTATTTGTTGAACTACCCTGGGCTAGAGCCCGACTATGATCCATACATCACGTTTCTCTCCTAATGATGCAGTGCCGCCGGCAACACTGAGTCAAGTCGCAGTGAAAACAGTGGATCTGTGTCATGAGTGGAAGATTCTTATTTTTGAGTTCAGGAAAAAAAACAAGACTCTAGCAGAGGGGAGAGTTAAAGGTGTGGCAGATTCAGACCCCCAAAGCAGCTGGGTTTGAAATGCCTTCCCAGGCAGCCGTGTTCACACACAGAGGAGCCTCACCATCTCCTGTGATTCCAGCGTCAGGGTAAACTGTCTAGAGAAAGAGCAACCCTGTGCATTATGGGCTCAAATACAAAAATGGGGAAGGAGGGGAAGCAGCCCCAGAAATGCTGGTAACAATATGAGGCAACAAGTTGTCCCTTGCGGACAGAACAATGGGCTTTCTGACCAGTAGAGGACAGAAGGAGGAGGTAGGCTGAAGGATTTTCAGTACAGAGAAAGGTCAGATTATTTGCATGTGCTCATTATGCTAATCAGCGAGAAATATAAAGAAGATAGGAGAAGAAGGTAGGAAAATAAATATGAGCAGGAAGGAAGGTCAGTTTAAGTCCATACGTGCATATATCATCACTCTTCACAACACCTAGAAAGAGAAGAGTTTTAGAAGAAAGTTGTTGGAGAAAAACTGATTTTTAATGGTAAGTCATGGGTAATGGTAAGCATCACACCCGTGACAGTCAGTCATAAAGCCGGTCGACTAAAAAGTACTGATTTAGACACAGAACGAGACACGTTGGAAGATCTATACAAATAACAGAACTTCTCTAAAATGAAGTTGTGATACAAAACCATCTGGCAGGAAAATTCAAAATTAATTTTTCAAAAGGAGAGACATCTGGTAGAGTATATTGCCATATTGTAAGCAAAAGTTTTTATAGAAAAGATTTCCAGGTTTTCAATGTACGGCATATTTACATTCTATACCATAAATGATGAAACAGCAAATGCTATAAAGCTAGGTTTCTTTACAAGGTGGTTCATGAGCCACCTGATTCTGAACCATGAGGTATCCTGATTACATGTGATAATGAAGATAATTGTTGAGTGTTCTAAAGCTTTAGACCTCTTGCTATAAACAAGCAATGACACAGGGAGAAATATTTTATGTAGCATGGCATTTGTACCATATCAGCCACAGATGTGCATTATAACACTTTCACATGTAAAAATGTGTGGACATTTTGAAATGCGTTGATTTATAAAGTTGGGATTAGATGTAGAAGGCAGCCAAAAAAGTATCTCCCCATGTGTCTACCCTGAGAGGGCAAAGAATATTAAAAAAAAAAAGCCATTAAAAAAGACAAGTATCCTAGTTTGATCAAATCTACAGCCTAATGGCTTTATCTACCAGTGACCATCAAATGTGGAAGTTATGAACCAGAAAATAACAAGTAGCCTCATGGAGTCTCTGGAAGGCATTATAACCATTATCCTAAATTTATTAGGTAAAATGGAGAATGCTTTGCTAAATCTTGAAAATGAAAATAATTTTGAAATCCATGATAAACATGCAATGATTGTCAAATGTGGGGAGCAGGAAAAGTGAGCTCGTGTAGACATAGTTGAGACAACGTTGAGCATTTTTTTGTCAACTTGGCATTGTCCTCATTTTGACTGGCGTAATGTATGATTTTCAAAGTTCACAACTTAAAAGAAAATAAGTATGCTATTCGAGCTGCACTGGTCAAAACAATAATCAAGATAAAAAAAAAAAAAAAAAAAACACAGAGGAAAGCAGACCCAAATGGAGAGATCACTAGAGCTGGATTAGCTGACAAGGGCAAAGAGGTCGAAGAACATTTGCAGATCTGTGAGCTTTATTAAATACTAGGTAGGTCATCAGCAGCACTATAGGGGTACATGGGCTAGTCCTTAATTTGGAAAATAAAAAAAAAATAGGCCCATTTTTTTTTTGGAAACTAAATTAGTAATAACCATCCCCTCACACAAAACTAGTAGATAAAAAACCTTTCTTTATGTGCACTTGGGAAGATATATCCTAAAACAGAAGTGTTACTGATAGTCCCTGTAAACCTATAAATCAAAACTCGCTTTAAAGGTCAGACACTGTATTGGAAAATAGGTGAATAAAGACATCACACTTTCACTTAGGGAGATGCCACGGGAGGTTGACAATCCATGAAATAAATGTCAGATGCCATGATCACATAGGCATAAACATAACAAGTGTCACCCTGCACATTCAGACTTCTCCATTACATTGTTT